TATAGATGTTCCGTAATACTCCTTCTCCCGGAATAATACTTTAACTTGAAGGTGACCCGCGCGAGGCGCGAGCGCCGCGCTGCACGCCACACTCGACAAATGCTATTGCAACGCGAAGCCCGTGTCGCTTGTAATTACGCCACTCAGTTATACGTACTCGTTAATTGCTATAATATGTTAATTTTCTATCTTCTTAATATTTACTAGTATTCGTTTATGTCTTTAACTCTTTTATTGTATGTGCTCTTGGACTATTAATGTGTATTATAAACTGTCTCTTCTGTGTATTGTGCTTAATAATTAATACAATCAGTATAAAAGACTTAGTTAACGTTATTTTTCCTTCTACAACTGCACACATCACCAAGTAAGCCTACAACTGGTGACCCCGACGTGATCAAGATCAGGAATTTAACGGTGAGGGAGAATATATATATATTAAGAATGAGTGAGGAAAAAATTAACATACATGAAAGCAAAGAGGAAATATGGCGAGTCAGCGTGCGAGTTCCGCCATTTTGGCCAGAAGAACCGGCGTTATGGTTCGCGCAGGTGGAATCTCAGTTCGCTTTATCCCGCATTACAACTGATGAGACCAAATTTTACTATTTAGTAGCACAGCTGGATCATCAATATGCCGTTGAGGTAAAAGATATTATTACAAACCCACCCTTAACCGATAAGTATTTGAAATTAAAAACCGAGTTAATGAAACGGCTCTCAGCTTCTCAGGAGAAACGAGTCAAGCAACTGCTGATGCACGAAGAACTGGGTGATAGGAAACCATCGCAATTTTTGCGTCACTTATGTAGTTTGGCCGGCCCTTCAGTTCCATCTGATTTTTTACTAACCCTTTGGTCTAGTAGGTTACCACAGAACATCCAGACGGTGATCGCTACACAGATGGACCTTGACAAGGACAAATTGGGAGAACTCGCTGACAAGGTGTATGAGATTGCACCGTCATCGCCGCAGGTAGCAAGCGCCTCTTCAACTCAGATGCCAGGGTACAGTGACATGGCTCAGCGGATTTCGGAATTAACCAGGCAAGTATCTTTGCTTACTACTAGACTAGAAAAATCTGAACGGTCACGGGCGACGTCAAGACAAAATAGGTATAATCGATCACGCAGCCGTTCCAAACCCAAGCAGCCCCCGCCAGATCACCCTCACTGTTACTATCATTTTACTTATGGTGAGCAGGCAAGGAAATGTAAAAATCCATGTAACTTCGATTCGGGAAACGCCAAGGGCGGTCGCAAGTAGCGGCCCACGACTGCCCAACAACAACAGGCCGTCTGTTTGTTACCGATCGTGTAACGAAGATGCAATTCTTAGTGGATACTGGTTCCGACCTGTGTGTCTTCCCGCGGTCAGCTATTCGGATGCCCTGCACCAAATCCAAGTTCGATCTCGTCGCTGCTAATAATACAGTGATACATACCTATGGGCCTACTCGTCTATGCCTAAACTTGGGCCTCAGGCGAGACTTCACCTGGAGCTTCACTATCGCGGACGTTACCAAGGCCATTATAGGAGTTGACTTCTTGAGCTACTACAACCTCCTAGTGGACTGTAAGAACCAGCGTCTGGTTGATGGTACTACCACCCTATCAGTTGCAGCTATCCAGTCGGGAATATCTGACCACATTTCGTCAGTTAAGGCTTTTACCGGGAATACAGAATTCCACACCTTACTACGCGAATTTCCAGAGATAACACGACCAGCAGGTATAAAATCTCCTTCTAAACATAATACTATGCACTTTATTCGAACCACTCCAGGTCCACCTGTTTCTTGCAAGCCACGCCGTCTTGATCCAGTTCGTTTACAAGCGGCGAAGAAGGAGTTCGAGGACATGCTCGCATGTGGTACTGCACGACGCTCGGAGAGTCCCTGGTCTTCTGCACTACACTTGGTGAGGAAGAAGGATGATGGATGGAGACCATGCGGCGATTATCGCGCCTTAAACGCCAGGACTATTCCAGATAGGTACCCCATACGTCATATACATGATTTTTCTCATCAGCTCTCAGGGTGCACCGTCTTCTCCACCATCGATCTGGTCAAGGCGTATAACCAGATTCTAGTCAATCCAGAGGATGTACCGAAGACCGCGATCACAACGCCTTTCGGATTGTATGAATTCCCATACATGACCTTTGGTTTACGGAACGCTGCGCAAACCTTCCAGAGATTCGTCGATGAAGTTCTTCTCGGCTTGGATTTCTGTTATGGATACATTGACGATATTCTGGTCTTTTCTCCTTCTCCAGAACTTCATCAGGAGCATCTACGGCAGTTGTTCGAACGCCTGAAACAGTATGGGATTTTAATAAATACATCAAAGTGCAAACTGGGGCAAGCAGAGGTGACGTTCCTTGGATATCAGGTGTCAGCAGCTGGTACTAAGCCTTTGGAAACAAAGGTCGAAGCTATCCAGAACTTCGCAGCACCGAAAACAGTAAAGGAGCTTCAACGTTTTCTTGGTATGCTAAATTTCTACCGACGCTTTATTCCTAAAGCCGCGCAGATCCAGGCACCGCTTACTAATATCCTCGCTGGCCCACGCATTAAAGGCTCACAGCCTATCTCGCTTACACCTGAAATACTAAAGGCTTTCGATAGTTGTAAGGCTTCCCTCTCGCAGGCCACACTACTATCTCATCCAGATCCTATCGCTGAACTCGCAATAGTCACGGATGCTTCTGACGTAGCTATTGGAGCCGTGCTACAGCAGAAGAAGGGCGAAAATTGGGAACCATTGGCTTTCTTCTCTCAAAAATTAAATACAGCGCAGAAGAAGTACAGTCCGTATGACCGAGAATTGCTTGCAGTATATGAAGCGATAAAGTACTTTCGTCATATGGTAGAAGTTCGAACGTTTATGGTGTTTACGGACCATAAGCCACTCACATTTGCATTTTCGCTCAACAGAGATAAGTGTTCACCTAGACAGTTCAGATACTTAGACTTCATCTCTCAATTTACGACTGACATCAAATTTATATCTGGACGAGACAACGTCGTTGCGGATGCCTTATCACGGGTGGAAGAGGTAGCTTGTGCCATTGACTACCAGTCTCTTGCACGGTCTCAGGAAAGTGATCCGGAGCTGCAGGAGCTACTTCACAATGGTACAGCCTTGAGGTTGAAGAAGATTAGCACCGAATCGTGCGATTTGCCTATTTACTGCGACACTTCACTACCAATGCCTCGTCCGTACATAACAGCAGAATTCCGCAGGCAAGTCTTTGAGATGCTTCATAGCTTACACCATCCAGGAAGTTCAGCTACTGTGCGACTGGTTACACAAAGATTTGTTTGGCCAGGGATTCGCAAGGACTGTAGAGAGTGGGCTAGGCAATGTCTAAATTGCCAAAGAAATAAAATTTCCCGTCACACCAAATCTCCCTTGTCCTCTTTCCCTTCTCCTTCCTCACGTTTCTCCCATATTCACCTCGACATCGTAGGACCATTACCTCTGTCTTCTGATTACAGGTACTGCCTAACAGTCATCGACAGGTTCACTCGATGGCCCGAGGCGTACCCGCTTCGGGACATCACCGCCGAGACCTGTGCTGCCGCCCTCGTGTCTGGGTGGATATCCAGATTCGGCTGTCCAGAAAGAGTGACCACCGACCGTGGTCGCCAGTTCGAGTGCCACCTCTTCAACGCTCTCACAGCCTTGGTTGGTGCGCGCCACTTCCGCACAACAGCCTACCATCCCACGGCGAACGGTATCGTCGAACGTCTTCACCGCCAACTCAAGGCGGCGATAATGTGCCACGCTTCGCAGTGGACTGAAGCCCTTCCACTGGTACTCCTCGGTATGCGTAATGCCTGGAAGGAGGACCTTCAGACGTCTCCTGCAGAACTGGTGTATGGTGAGCCTCTTCGCCTGCCCGGGCAGTTCCTGTGCCCAAGCGACGACTACAAGACGGCGGACGTCACACAGTACGCGACTCGTCTTCGCGCGTACATGGCAAAGCTGTCACCCCGTCCTACAGCCTGGCACACCACTACATCCTTCTATGTGCCACGCAATCTTCACACTTCTTCTCACGTCTTCGTTCGTCAAGATCGCATGAGAGGTTCTCTGGAATCACCGTACACGGGCCCCTATAAGGTTGTCAACCGGCAGCCTAAATATTTCACCCTAGATATAAACGGAAAGACTGCAAATGTATCAGTCGATAGACTCAAACCGGCGTACATAGCCAAAGAAGCTCAAGTTCCAGTCCAACCAATAACAGCGCAAGAGGACATCAAACGCACTTCCAGCGGCCGACGAGTCCGGCTACCAGATTTTTATCGACCGTAGTCACGGTCTCCGGGGGGAGTGATGTAGCCTAACTTATCTTACAATTTAATTAAGTACATTTATATACATACAATTATAACAATTAATTAATTTATTATGTTAAAATATAATATTTCTAATATAGATGTTCCGTAATACTCCTTCTCCCGGAATAATACTTTAACTTGAAGGTGACCCGCGCGAGGCGCGAGCGCCGCGCTGCACGCCACACTCGACAAATGCTATTGCAACGCGAAGCCCGTGTCGCTTGTAATTACGCCACTCAGTTATACGTACTCGTTAATTGCTATAATATGTTAATTTTCTATCTTCTTAATATTTACTAGTATTCGTTTATGTCTTTAACTCTTTTATTGTATGTGCTCTTGGACTATTAATGTGTATTATAAACTGTCTCTTCTGTGTATTGTGCTTAATAATTAATACAATCAGTATAAAAGACTTAGTTAACGTTATTTTTCCTTCTACAACTGCACACATCACCAAGTAAGCCTATAAGTGAAATAATTTTTATCCCGAAAATCATCCCTTAAGGGAGTGAGAATGGGGATGAAAGTTTATATGGGGAAACAAGCCACCTAAATTAAATATTTATCTGTATGTATTGTTATCAGACAATGATAAATGTTTGTGAAACTAAAAATTAATACAAGTTAATATCAATAAAAAACTTACCCGCTAATACTTCGAAGATTTCGAAGAGCATAAATATAGCAAAAATAAATACTTGGAACAATTTCATGTTGCAAACGTACAGTCGCAGAGCACGCTCACAGCGTACTGATGTCTGATACCAGATACAGTATTGTTAATTAAAAGTTCAAGACGAGGTCATCGTAAACGTAATTTGTTGTTTTTAGTATGTACTTTAAGTCATATTTTGCTTTTTTTTATATTTTAAACAACTATAAAACATCTCTAGTGATATTCGTAAATCAATAAAAAATATGTACCCAAATTGCATAACATCTTCAAATCAATAAAAAATTAAACTCCTTGAACAAAACGTAGAGTGCCAAGAGTGAACTAAAAATATATTTTTATTTACTGCAAGTCTTGCTACATGCATTCCTCCGATTGCATTTTACTATGTTTTATATGTCATCTTGTTTCCGTCTTTTTAGTTTTATTTTACGCTGTCTATAATACATAGTATGAAATAAACTAAGCCAAGAAGCGTAAATATAGCAGAGATTTCTAGCCAGTTGGACAATTTAAGTTTTATTATTAAGGACATCCATACTGAATATTATAAATTTCACATTTATAGTGTGTTTGCTTGTTTGTTCTTCTTTCACGTCGAAACAGAGTGCCGGATTAGCTTGATTTTTTGTGTGGATATAGTTTGAGGACTGTACAGTGACATAGGCTACTTTTTATTTTAGGAGATTATCTCATTCCCACGATAAAACAAAATATTGTTATAATACTACCCAAAAAAATATTTATTGTCAGAATTACTTGAAACTTGGTATTAATGCTCTTCAATACAATTAAATAAATACGTGTTATATATGGGGTAAAATAACTGATGAAAGTTTGTATGAAACCTATCTTTTTAGAGTATTTTGTAGTTTAATCGCGAGCGAAGCTGCGGGTTATGCTACTACCTATATATTTTTTTATTAAATTATTTCTTAAATTAAATTGTAAATATTAGTGTAATCACCTAAAAAAGTTTTAATTTTGGTATTTGATAGGACTTTTTTTCAAATACATAGCAATTTACGATAGCGATTTTTTTCAAAACGCCTACGAAGAGAATATGTACACCACCAACTTCCCAACTTTAGATGTAGGTAAAAACTTTAATTTACGCAAAAACTAGGTACCCAAACGAAGTTTCATAAGTATACGGATAATTATGATCTAACGTGCTAAGATCATCTGTTTTCCTCTTAGATAATGATCAAACGGTTATTGGTTAAATATAAAAAAAATCGGTCAATGCGAGTTTGTGTGTGCACACCGAGGGTTCCGTGGCATAAAACATTACATCTTTCAATTTAGTTAGTTTTTAATACGTTGACAGGGAAGTTTATTTTTTTTAAGAGCCAATAGTTATGGTTCATTGGCTCTAAAAAACTTAAGTATTTAATATTACTTTCAACTTAAAATCTTATGAAGATTTAGATTAGATGACTAATAAGAAATAAGGTTGTTGATAGACGGACAGATGGAAAACTAATTTACCAATTTTTTTTTTTCGTTCTTTACTATGAAACTCTAAAATAAGCATCTACGTTTAATATTAATTATTACTAACAGAAAATAAAGATAAAATAAAACAACGTCATCTGCGCTAGCCCTACCTAATTCGAAAGAGATCGTGGGATGTATTACCGTACAGATAACCATATTTGTATATGTAGATATGTATACGTTTTAGGAGCGAAAAATTGAATAAGGAAATCTAAGAAAACAGATAGTACACCTTTTCATATTTTATTATGTTAAATAAAGTAGGTTATACGTATGTATATCATGCTGTTTCCATATATTTTACAATGTTTATCAATTACTACTTAATTATTTCTTAAATATCTATTTACAACAATAGTTATATTTACAATCTTAAATAAGCATATCAAATTATCAGGAGTTACCGCTGTCCTCAAAACACATCATTTTACATTTGTATGAAACGTTTTCTTTTAAAGGCCTATCTTCTAATACCATGGAATTTATGTTCGAGGCGGATAGCGATGCATCCGATACACGGCTAGAGCTAAACATACTATTTTTAATTATTTCGTTAGCTGCATCTTCAGTAGCCTTCGCTTTAGCAGCCTCACGTATTTTAAATAACACCGAACTTCCAGATTTTCTTTCACTTGGAATAGCTTCTTCAAAATCACTATTACTTCTGGTATTAGTGTCGTGTAAATCAGATGTTCTTTCATATAAAGAAGATAATTTTCTCGAATTGACAAAACTTCTATCTGAAAATGGTATTCGAGATGCAATTTGTTCACTTGCTAACGCTTTTGACTCACCAGTTTTTAGCTTCGACTTTGTCTGTGGTCGTTTAAGTAACGAATTTTTTGTCAACAATGAAGTTTTCGATTTTACAGAAGACGGTAAAGAACTTGTTTTAGTTTTTGAGATCAATTTTGGTCGAGCTGTAGTACTAAAGCTAATTGTAACTTTGCTTTCTTTTAATGGCTTCAACTTAATGTCTTTTCTAAGCGACGACTTAATTTCATCTACTCGTAACTTTGTGGGACGAGTGATAGTAGGTATTTTCTTTGAATCCAATGCCACATGTTTTGAAGGAATATTAAATTTTTGTAGTATTTTCGGCTTAGAATTATTAGTTTTCTCAAGGTCTAATAATGATGTTCTACTTATTGCGGTAGGTGCTCTTAGTTGTTTTAGATTATTGTTTTTAATACCTCTAAATGTGTGATCATTATGTACTTGTAACGGTGAAATATTTGATATTTTTTGTGAAAATGACGATAGCCTTTCGTTTAGACCTGAATGGAAAGCCCTAAATTTTTCAGTAAATTCATCATTTGTTTTCGCTATAGTTTCAAACAAGTCCACTGGCCTTTCTTTGCTTAACATTTTATTGTAATTTCTAGTGAATGGATTTTTCAAATTCTCATCGAATGCATCTTGAATATTTCTTAGAGTATTCTCTGTTAAAGAGTGAAAATGATCACTGTTAGGCATTATATTTTGCAGACCATTAAATTTTAATGTTTTCAATTCCGAATTATCTCTACGTTGATTGCTGTTACCGATTTTTGATTTTAGATTATTGGGACTTAATGTATCCATATGCTCTCTTAAAGTATTAGAAGCTGCAATCATTTCAGGGGACTTCCTATGAAATTTACTTAGAGCGTTAGGTTCTTGACTTATAGGCTCAGGTAATGCTTTTATGTTTAAAGATTTTGGCACCGCGACTTTAGCTTTGTATAAATTAATATTAGAACTAGGATTTTTTACTTTTCTGGATTTATCGCTATTTAATCTTGCTAAAGGTTCATCAGATAAAAGTTGCTGATTTTTGGTAAATATAGCATTAGTTATCGAGTCATCATTTGCGTTATCGTTAATTGCAGAAAATATATTAGGTTTTGTGTCGCTATTAAAAATTTCTGATACAGAAGTCTGGAAATTTTCAAAGAACGCCTTTACATTTGAATTCGTGTTTGGTTGTATTACATGTTGTATACTACTTACAATAGGACTACTAGCTTGTGAAAACATTTCGTTGTTTTGATCATCTGATAAATCAGCTTCAGTTTTAACAGGATCAGAACTTTTAAGAGACATATTGTCACACGAACTTAGTAGTGGGTTGCGAGAAGTTTCTTTTAATTCCTCTAAACTGCTTCTTTCCATTAATTCGTTTGAGTTTTCCAAAGATGTTTTTGGTGAAGTTGTAGCAGATTTAAATATTTCAGAGGGCGACTCTGCAGATAATGATATGGTATTTAATTTTGATGTCTCTTGACTATTATCACCAGCTTGTTCTCCATTGTGATATTTTGTATCTTTTGTTAAATTTTCCCTAGATTGTGACGAAGCCTTCGCCTCCTCTTCTTCTTTTAAAGAGCTTAAATTTAAAATCCGATTCGACATTTCTTGAAGATCTTGTAAGTTAATGTTATTTCCAACTTTATTACTTTCTTCTTCACTTAGACCATTATTCGGTGATGAATCTGTCTCTACAACAGGATTATTTTTTACGACAAGTAATTGTAATGCATCTTGAACATTTGACTTAATTTTTTCTTGAATTCGTTCATTCGTCTTTTTAAAATTTTCTATTGTTTTTAGAATATTGTCTTTTATATTCGGTAAAGTATTTGATTTGGGAGTACTATCCACCAAGATCTTTTCAGTTGTTGTTATTAAGGTAGTGATGTCGTTTGTTTGTTGATTATCTAAACTCTGAGTATTTACGTTTCTTGGCTCATTGCCAACATTTGAATGATCATATTTATTGTCTTCTTCTTGTAAACTTATAATTTTAGGGTTATTTACACTCGCTTCGACATCAGGGTCTTCAAAATTACAAAGACTTTCTTCACCTTTATAAGTTTTATCACCCCCTGCGAAATTGTTAGATTGATCCATTTCTGTATTTTCTTCACTAAGGCATTCATTTAAATTTGTAGGAATAGTTTCTTCTATATCTGATGTCAATTGCTGTTTGTTATCATCAATTTTATTTTGATTAACAAGTTCGTTTTCATTATCGTCTGTATCACATCCATAATTCATTCTATTTTCTGATACTTCAGTTGACATGGATGATTTGGTTTCAATTATTTCAGATGGGCTTGAAGCAATATCAGAAGTTAGAGTATCAATAGTATTTATGATATTACTATTTTCATCATCACCTTCATTTAAGTTTAATTCACAGTCACTTATTTCAGATAAAACAGTATTATCAGTAACACCTTTTAAATTTTCTTCATTAGTATTAAAATGTAAGCTAGGTTTTGATTTTACTGAATTGCTTGTATCCATTTCCTTATATGGCTTTTTAGAGTGTAAAAATGTCTGAGGGTTTTTATAAGATCTTGCATTATTATTTAAAACATATTGTTCAGAATTACTCGGTGAATACATAGCATCTTTCTCTTTCTCTTTACCAATGTTGTCAATAGAACGTAAGGGTGGATAATCTTTATCTTTTGATTTTTTGAAATGATCTATTAATGATGGCAATCTTAAGTTAGAAATTCGTGCATTTTCACTTTCAGTCTTTATATCACCTTTCAAATTATTTCCAATTTCTGGGAATAATTTTAGTTTTATCAAATCTGATTTTAATTTTAAATCATCCAATATGTTACTTTTCAAAGGCATTCGTACATTTTCTTGTATATTACTAGCACTGTTATTCATATCAAAAAGCTTTTTATGTAATAGGGCATTATTTTTTACTTTGGGTGAAGAAAGTAGTGAATTTCTAAATAAGGGAACGGAGTGACCTACGCTATCATCATCACTACTTTGCCCGAGAGGTAAATGAACGCAACGTGTTTCCTGAACATGAGAAGCTTCTGGCATAGTGTCGTTAGTTTGTTTTGGCTTAAGAATAATGTTTACTATTTTTTTTGGTGCATAATTTCCAGTTTCTTGCTCAAAAGAGTTAACTTGAGAAGCATCAATAGCACTTCTTGCAGCGTCTCGTGCCAAAGCTTCTTGGTATTCTTGATCGGTAACTTCTCGCAAAGTTTCTAAAACAGAAGACGCCAGTCCAACTTCTGGTTTTAATAAAGGCTTAGGTTCCCCGTTTATTTCTCGTGGTCTATAATAGAAAAATAATAACTGATTAAATTTATATTTTTCATATTAATATTTTTAAACTTACTTTATGAACGTGTATCTGTCTTAGTGGTTTGTGCCTATTGTAATTATTTTGTTGTAGTTTTAGATAAAGTATTATTGCTTCACACTTTTTAATTGTTTTTCTAATTACTTTCTAATTACTATCTATACAGATAAATAAAATTGAAGTGTCAAAATAACAGCTTTTTACTAAATGTATATGAAAGCATTACCCACGGCTCCGCCCGCGTTCAGATGACCAAAAAGCATATTCTAAGGTTTTACATATTAGTATACTCTTACAATGAAGTTTTTGTATTTTTCTCAGAAATGAGATATGTTCCCACGGTAAAAAGTACCCTATATGTTAACCTTGATAAACAGGTATCTCCATATCAAATTTCACCAAAATCCCTTCAGTGGTTTTTCTGTAATACAGTAACAGACAGACACAAAAAATTTAAAAATTGTGTTTTTCTTATAAGTACCTTATGGGACATTCCACACCAAATCGGACGGTTTCATAAACTTTTATATTTTATTTTCTTAATATTTTGGTATTTTTAGTACCTCTCGAAATAGGCTTCCTGGTAAATTTTGAGATTTTTTTGATCACCGGTTCAAAAACATCGAATTTAAAAAAAAACGCTCTTTTTTTTGGTTCTTTCCTCGTAACTTTCTTAACAATAGTCAAAATTCAAGTGGAATACCCCGTATATAATCTATACATATAATTAAATTGTAACTAAGCCGAATCTGTACACTAAATATTTTTTGGAAAACCTTATTGAAATAGACATTGTTACGGCTAATCTCCGAAACAGATGGACTGATTTTGACGGGGTTTTACTGGTAGATAGCTGATGATGAAGTAACTTAAAGTACTTTAATTTTTAAGACCTACAATTTTCTAGTATATTGTTTTGATGTACCTCTTAAGGGTTAGCCAGTGTTAGCGAGTCGTCTTTAAGACTCGATAAAACAAGTTATTATGCTTTCCCGTGGGACTTTAAGATTTCCCTGCAATAAAAGGTATCCTAAATGTTGACCCGAGTGAGAACATAAACGCGTACACCCAAGCAGACAATATTTTTAAAAACTATTGTTTTTAAGTCTATATTATTTACACAACACATTAGAGTCATTAATATTTTTTTTTAATTTCATACACAGATTTCGCTAAGTTACTGTTTTATTATATGTATAGATAATAAAATTTAGAAAAATATTTAAATACTACCTTTTAAAAGGTTCAACAGCCCTCATTGCTGGTCTGAACACTGATGAGGCAGCGTCTGAGTCAGCTGTCATACATGGGCAGTCGTCACGAGATGATAACACCTGCATTTGTGAGTCCAAAACATCTTCATCCCTAATGATACTTCGCTCAGAACCAGGACATGGGCAGCAATCACCAAAATTTAATTGCCTCGCTTCTCGCATATTCTCGTCTATTACTGGTTGTGAAAAGATCTGTAACCAAATATTATAATTCAAATTACAAAAAACATCAGAAAAAATCATTTACTATTAGCCAGTATCGAAAGACCTACCGCTGCTGGTAACTAAACGGCATTTTATGAACCACAAACCAAGAATAAATTCGCTCACTTCACAGTGTTGGTACAGACTTTATTATACGACTAGCGGCTCACCCTCGCTTCGCTAGGGTTCGCCTCTATAAAAACACTAATAGAGATCTATTAGTTCTCACGGGAACCGTTCATTTTTCCGGGATGAAAAGTAACCTGTTGTTTGACCGGCAATATAAGGTATTAGAATGTTAAATTTTACTAAATTAGGTGCATAAGTTGTTCTGTACTAAGCTTTATAAGTTACTATAGTTCTTAAACTATCCCACGGGAACTCTTTAATTTTCCGGAATGAAAAGTATTTTACATGTTGACCGGGGATATAAGGTACGACCATGCAAAATTTCATTTAAATCGGTCCAATAGATTCGGAGATTAGCCCGTACAAACAGACAAACAGACAGAGAAACAAAAAATTAAAAAAAAATCGGGATTTTTTACTTTACGGGATTCTTACACCCCCCTGACTCGGGTTTTAGCATTTTTTTGCTATTTACAGACATTCGACCTCTACTGTTTTATTATAGTATAGATAGAGAAAGGTAAACGAGCAGAAGTATGAAAGCAAGATAAATGCAGTATAAATGCAAATCTCTCGGGGGACTGTGCGGTGTCAGCTTATTTGATAGAATTCACTTTAAGAAATCTCTTAATCTGGGAATCCCCAGAATGGAAGAAAGTCAGTCTTAATAATGTATATTATAATTTCATAGAAACCAGTATTTTTAACCCCCGACGCAAAAACGACGGGGTGTTATAGTTTGACGTCTCTGTGTGTATGTGTTTGTCTGTGGCATCGTAGCTCCCGAACGGATGAACCGATTTTGATTTTGTTTTCTTTTTTGTTTCAAAGGTGAATTAGTCGGGATTTCTTAGCTATGTTTGATGAAAATCGGTCCAAGATGGTCGGGGGTTTTTTAAATTTTTAATTTATTGTATACCCTTGAATGGCTACTGGAATGATAACGTCAATACATTGCAATTCTTAACCGACTTCAAAAGTAAGAGCTATAAGGTTGAAAAAAATACTTTGTAGGTTATTTTAAAATCCCAGTTATCTTGTTTTACATAAAGCAATTTTGCCAGAACTTTCAATTGAGAATAGAAAGAAAGAAAAAAGAAGATTCACTTATACACCGAATGTTCCGTTACATTAAATTTATTTTGCTTTTTAACAATTTAGGAATGTAAAAACATAATTTAATTATTGCATGCTACGGAACTCTAGTTGTGCGAGTCTGAATCTCACTTATCCGATTTTTGTATGTTGGCTACTCGACCCTAATATAAAACTTAGACTAAATTGTATTAATTATCCAAGTAAACAAAAGAAACGTTTTCTTATGAAAATACTGAATAGCTTACATACATACATATAAGATGAGGAAATTTAATATAACATAATTTATCTTATGGGTTTTGCGAAATACAGACCACAGTTTGTATGAAAATTTTGCTAATACATAGATGCTGTTCAATGCATCAAAATTGAAATCCATAAAAGGATTGTTGTTCCAAAATAAGCGAATTTTTATAGACAAAATACGTACATCATATGCAAAATATTTACTTAACCTACTATTAAGAATTCATATCTAACTTAGTACGTCATATTTTATATCAGAAAACGAAGGCTTTGGGTATTATAAAAAATTGTTAAAATCTTTTAATTCATAGATATACAAAGAAAACATAAATGACTTATCTTTTACTTTATCTACGTAAAACTATAGGTAAAATCCTATATGTACTCAAAGCATTATATCCAAAAAGCAATATTTAAAATACCTACACTGAAATTAGAGTATTCTTGTATTGTTTATTCATCTCTTTTTAACATCCCATTGCTAGGCACGGGCCTCCCTTCAATACGAGGGGGTATCAGGTTACAGTCCACTACGCCGGCCAAGTGCGGATTGGCCGACTTCACATGTCTTTCGAACAATTGCTAGGTTTTCTCGGACGTGCAGGTTTCATTTTATTATATCATACCATTTAATCATACTGGGCATGAATCGCACATAAAAATATCAGTGCCGAAATTAGAGTATCTACTGATAATTATTTTTTTCTCTAATATATTTGTATTAATGGTATTTAAAAGAAGTACGTATTGTCTGTAATGTCTGCCTGTCCTTTCAGAACGCTCATTGCTTTAGAACATCTGGAAGGCCTTCTACAGAACTATTTACACTATAATAATCTGAATCAAAAGCATATCAAAGTCAAATTCTAGTTATTAGTTTAGTAGTTATTTATTAAAATACAGATGAATTAAGTAAAAAATAATAATAATAATGTATATGATATTTAAATTTAAATTGTTTATGGTCATTATCTAATCAGCCCTTTTTAACATCCCACTGCTTGGCAGTTGGGCACGGGCCTCCGATGCGGGTCGACTGACTTAACGTCATGTCTTTCGAAAACTTGTTAGGTTCTCTCAGACATGCAGGTTTACTCACGACGTTTTCATTCACCGTAAGGCAAGTGGTAATCATGTTAGAAATGATTCGCACATGAAAATATCAGAGGTGTGAGACCTAGGATTTGAACCCGCTTCACTCGGTTTTCCAAGCGAGCGCGTTACCACTGGGCTGCTACTGCCTACTGGGCTACCACTGTCTTTATATTACTTCTTATGGTCACTATTAAGCATATAGTATAATAAAAAAAACTTACTGTCCTCCTCTGCACCAGTACCAACAAAACCAAATACTTCCACATTCTCACATCGGGAACGATCTCCAATAAAATAATTAATTCACACAGCTAATATAACATCTAAGCTACAGATAATCTCTCGATAATGATAATCGAGTGCAGTTTCAAAGCACGCGCCAAGTTGTACGTGACGTGATGCGCTGAGATTGACAAAATTGTTATCAACAGACGAACGTGAACTTGATATAATAACCTGGTTTTAAAAACAGCTATTTTTTTCTTTGCTTTCTTCTTTTTAACTTGCCTTTGCCCGCGGCTCGGGTTGGGTTTTATTACGATCAAGAGGCTATGTCACTGTGTCCTGTTAAAATCGGCTTGTTCTTTTGTATGGTATCGTGTCGAAGCTCTATTTGTGGACTAATATTTTAATATAACAGGCAAACAATTTAATTTAATTTTTAAATTAAATATGTAAGACGAAACTTTAAACAAAAGTAGTGTAATATTTTTTACAATAAAGAATTATAATAGGGGAAAGCTTGCACCCTGTAATGTACCCCTACCATATATGAACCCTTAATATAGAGGGGTGCATTGAGGGCAGCTCGTCAGATTAGTAAAAAAAAATCGATCCTCAGAAAAACTGGAGCGCGTCAGATTAAGACAAGGTAAGTTAAGTACATGCAGAAAAATGTAAATTTCAATAATCTGACTGTTTGGCATAAGGAAATGGGCGAGTCACAAAGTCGTAAAAAAACATCACTCCGAAATACTCGAGCGCTATTGATTTGTTTATTTTTTATTTTGAAGGAAATCCTATCAGGATAATCTGACGATTTTCATGGGGCGATGTAGCTAAAACCATCAATAAAGAATGAAGCGGTCAGATGCTGAGAACTGTTTATTTCCCACTCCGCGCATCTCTTTCCTTCTCACTCACTCTTTCTCTCACTCTCTCGCACCGTCCCCACACTACCATCTGCCGCCATGATGCCATCTCAGCTGATCACAATAACGTGTTCGTTTTTAAAGATGGGTTAATACCGTTTTTTTTTCAGAATTAGGTAATATTCGTCTGGCAATATTATAATATTGTAACTATACTCGGCGCGGCGAACCTTGATCCCTATGACAGTTCGTGTTAGTGATGGGTCGTGTCTTTGGTCGTGTCGATAATTTGCTCATGTGGCGCTTGCCCATACAAATCACAATAAAAAAAATTTCGCTTTCAGCGCTGAGTACTTTCACTGTAAACTATATAAGTAACACATGCAAACTTCACTTACTTTTGTTACACCCTTGACCCTGTGTACGTAAATAAATAATTATTAAACAGATTTTGTTTCATTTCATTTTGTCCTATAGCTGTTATTATTTAATTTTCTTGGGTATAATATAATCATGTATGTATGAATGGTATGATCGTAATATTCTGTTCCATTCCATAATATATGAACTAAAATGTATGAAAAAAATGTGCATTCGTTTCCATTACCGACATTTTTTTATCGATTCTTGCCGCCCTAGTCGATAAACGTCACACGACGTAAGTTTTGCAGGACGTAAACATAAATTCAGATTGAGATAACTTCTTGTAAATGTTAAGAATTGTTAAAAATATCAACGGAATATCATTACTAATGGTATAAAGCTACGTAAAATTTATAAATGGCATTTTTAGACGCCCCCAATATGATCCCAATTTAATGGTGACGCCACTACAATGTTATATGGTGACATTAGCTGTCAGTGTCATAGGGATCAAGGTTCGCCGCGCCGAGTATAATACTTCAATAATATAAAGCCTAATTTATACACAGGCAATCTTTCAATCCCAACAATTTATTCATCTTTAAAAATACTACGTACATGTGTTAGAGACTATTATAAAATACATATGACATTTATGTTTCTAATACATATATTATATAAATAAGTGGCCAGTATTATTACTACATTCTTCCCCCCTTTAAGAAATATAGTCCCTTAAGTATTGTGGTCGGCGTCTAGTACGATCTGACCTTCGAGGTTCTAAGTCTGGACCAGTAGATGGTATTGGTTCAGCTTCTTCAGATGAAGGTGTAGTGGATTCTGTGTCTGTATAGTATATATCTGAATCCTCTTCAGAGCTTTCCGTTTCACTTTCAATAAAGCCTAATTAATACACAGGCAATCTTTCAATCCCAACAAAAAGTTACTACAATTTTCTTATTGATTTTATTTACTAATAACACTTAGCATTTTATTCTCGTTACTTTTAACAGATTGTGAGTATTGTATTTTCATATTAAAAATATAAAAAATAAATGTTTTATTATATTTTTTACAACAAAAAAAGCGATATCAATTATTACGTCCTTTAGGACATCACTATAACTTGTCAGTCGTCGAGCTGTCAAAAAACCATTAATAAAATGGACAAACTATAATGGAAAAGATTTCTCGAAAGGCGGGCGCCACACGTATGGCCTATTTACATTCAGTCTGAGATCAAGCAATTTATTGTGATGTCTCTTTTATACCCGGTTTTTGCTTCTATTATGTTCGTATCTTACCTGTGCAATGTTAGACCAGCTGAAGGAAGAATTGAAAAGGAGAGGTGCATCTTGCGATGGTCCTGACTGACTGATGGATCAACACACGCCCTAAACCGCTGGTTGTAGACAGGTGAAATTTGAAGGACGTATTTCAATGATGTAAGCATCCGATTGGAAAGAATTTTTCTACATTCATAAGTGGGTAAAATAGAGGATTAAAGATTGTATGAAACTCTGTCATTTTTAATGTGAAATACACAGAATGTGGTGTTTAGCTTTAAGATAAAAAATTAAAAGTAAAATAAAATTAGAGTAATACAAATTAGAGGTAAAAGGGGGCAATAAAGTTTATGTGGGCGAAGAATTATTCATGATTAGAATTACTTCAAACTTTGTATTAATGCTCTTCAATACAATTAAATAAATACGTGTTTTAGCATTTTTCGAAATTTAATCACATAAGGGAGCCAAATAAGGTCAATGAAAGTTTGTATGCAACTTTGTAATTAATATGTAAACAAGTACAAAAAATAAAAAAAAATACCTGTAGACGATTTAATAGTTTTAAAATCAATTTCTTTAAAATGATCCACATACCCTTAAATATAAAGATTTTGATTTTGCCAATTTTGGTCATCTTATTTTTTCAGCTTTTGTCTTTTGGAAACAAATGATATCCATTTTCTTTGCATCCTGGTACTGCATAATTAAATTTCAAATAAAATGAAAAATAAACCATCATGCTATAGAGCTTTACAATATACTGAGGGTATAATGATCGCGGGAGAAAAAGGCAAAATTCTTTACCTATATTAAGAGTTTTTTTCAAAGTTACCCCAGATCAAGACACATTTTATAGGTACAAAATTCAAATAACAAAATATGAGTACTCAATAATATTATAATTAACTTATGTATTGTGTACAACATTTTATTAAATTCAACGGTAGCACATATCGCATAACTTAATATTTAAAAAAAGTTTATAAATAAATGAAGACTTATGAAGTCATTATTTATTTAATATTAAATATAAAATTACATACATATATTAAATGTTACATATAAATAAAAATATCTTTGTAAGTTATATGTAACAATTTCAAGAACATAAATATTAAACTTTATTTACGCTTATGTTTAAAATTCTTTAAATTAAATAACCATATGGCAATATCAACACAAAATGTCGTTTGATGAAATTTAAAAAAACTTCGTTTGAAAGTCGTTAATGCTGTGAATTGTGATACGTTGCAATAATTGATAAAAAAATAAGATTTAATAATTTATTGCCTCGTGACATAAAAGTTATAAGTGAATTCAATAAATGTTTTGATAGATACATAAGAAATTTGCGCGGTTACTAACCCGCAACATATAATTGACATCGTGTTCGCAAAATCAACAAAATTCCTCCATACAAGATGGATGATTTTCTAAAGATAGAAAAAATTGGCGAGGGCACATATGGAGTAGTTTATAAAGGCAAAAATAAATTAACTGGACAATTTGTGGCTATGAAAAAAATAAGGTTGGAATCTGAAGATGATGGTATTCCGTCAACAGCAATACGGTATGTGTATTTACAAAGTATAATAATTCCTCTCTGTTATTAAATTTAAAACAACTGTTCATTTCATTAAGCTTTTACTTTAATATATTTAGATTAAATATATTGTTATAACCTCACCATTGTATTTACTTCTCTTGACTGGACTGCATTATTACAGAGAAATATCGCTGCTAAAAGAACTAAATCATCCTAATATAGTGAAGCTTGAAGATGTTTTGATGGAGGAATCCCGACTTTATTTAATATTTGAGTTCCTGTCCATGGATTTGAAGAAGTATATGGATTCTCTTGGATCTGGCAAAGTGAGCTTGTTGTCCATTGCTAATATTGATAGTAATTAATATGTAATAAAATGTTTCAATATTATTTTTCTATCTCAGGCATTGTTATTGTATGTTATATTATAACAATTCTTTAAAAATTGACCCTTTCAATAATTTTTATAGACAATTTTTTGATAAAAGTACTTAAGTACTCTACTATTATTGAATGTTACTTTAATTTTTGTATAAAATTGTGAAGATGTTTTGTACTGAGTGGTATTTGAGTTTTCTTTCTCTGTTTCAGTTTATGGACCCAAATGTGGTGAAAAGTTACTTATATCAAATTAACAATGCCATTCTCTACTGCCACCAACGTCGCATATTGCACAGAGATCTCAAACCACAGAATTTGCTTATTGACAAGACTGGTATTATTAAGGTATGTACATATACTTGATTCAAGAAAATATATTCTCACATACACTCCTTTTCAACCAGTAAAAGTATATATTTTGTTTATCTAAAACTAATTTTGTAGAACTAGCAACTTTCGTAAAGCTAAAATATATTCTTAATTTGTTTGTTTATATTTTTCTTTAATGTGAAGTAAAATATAAATTAATTTATCGTATTATAATAATATCAATCTCATTTCTGTAAAACTTTTTGTGGCATTTGGTAAAGATTTGTTCAAAAGTACAAATGCTAAATTTTATTGCAGTCTCTATGCATGATCAAATGAAGGGTACAGGCAAAGAACAGGGAATGTCATAGTTTTTGTTATTTTTTTTTTGTTTTGTACTCGTAACAAATACGGATGTCACCAAAAATATATTTTATCTATGGCCAAAGCAAATAAATGGAAATGCAAATGTAATGTCCACAACATACCTCTAAAGAGGATTGTCCATAAGTGTACACAGTTAAAAGTATATGCATACTTTGATCTCAATAAAAACATTATAAAACGTTCTTTGCCTGTACCCTTTATATGGTCAGTGCAGTTCAAAAATATCCCAGTCTGACTGACCTATTGCTTACAAAAATTGTGTGATGTTGTAGATGTAATTTATTGAATTATTAATACTTGCACATAATTATTCTTAGGTTGCTGACTTTGGCCTGGGGCGAGCGTTTGGTGTTCCAGTGCGTGTCTACACTCATGAAGTGGTAACACTTTGGTACAGAGCTCCTGAAGTCTTGCTTGGTAGTCAGCGGTAAGTTTTGGGTCTCTCAGTAAATTTGTATGTAATGTATAAATATATAATAGAATTTCAAATTCAAAGCAGGTTTTATTTTCATGTTATTAGCATCTTTTTTAAACTTTTTCCTGAACAAAAATTGAAGGTCTCTTTGGTATAATAGTACAGAATACTTTTAACACCTTTCTTATGTTGGTCATTAGAATGATAATAAATTGTATGTTTCAGATATTCTTGCCCAATCGACATGTGGTCTGTGGGGTGCATCTTCTCTGAGATGTCGTCAAAGAAACCGCTGTTCCAAGGTGACTCGGAGATCGATCAGCTTTTCCGTATCTTTAGGTAAATCCTGTTATATTAAATACTAAAGTACATTTACCTAGTAACTACATTTGGCCTTATCTGGGAGTCGAACCCAGTACCTCCAGATCTGCAGCCATTAGACCAAAGGTGACATGCAAACTTTTAATGTAAGTTTTTGGATTCAGGATAGTGAAAATGCCATGGAGCTATGAGGTTGGTTTCCTATAGTTAAGAATGATATTATTCTATACTAGCATTGCCCGCGGCTCCGCCCGCATTCAGCTGACCAAAAACCAAATTCTCAGGTTTTACATATTAGTATACTCTTACATTGTAGTTTTGTAGTTCTTGTATTTGTTCTTAGAAATGAGATATTTTCCCGCAGTAAAAAGTATCCTATATGATAAAACTATAGATTCGGCCTCTGTATCGATAATAAGGACTATTTCAATAAGACTTTTTTTTTAATATTTAACGTACAGATTCGACTTGGTTATAATTTTATTATATGTATAGATAACATGAGAAGTCCTTTAAACTGTCTAGAAATTTGTCCAAAATCTTAAAATTTGAGAGTCGTAGCTTCCTGCTACAGCTTCCATGATAGAATTTGTGTTGTAAACTTGTAATGTACCTAACATGCCTTATTGTTATTTATAATATTCAGGATGCTACAAACTCCAACGGAAGAAATATGGCCGGGAGTGTCATCTCTGCCTGACTACAAACCTACTTTCCCCAATTGGACTACATTCAATTTACACAATCATGTAAGAATTCATTTTTTTAATTAATTTTTCATTTGTTAGTTTGGAAGTATAATGCACATCTTTGTATATAAATTTGTAGTGTTTTATTTTTTATTTTTCTCTTTAACGGCTACATAAAATTTAATAGATTATTTTGTGTATACTTATGGAGTCACCTATATGGTTCGTAGCTATAGTTAGAATTAGTAGGTGACGCTGTTCTCAAGATCAAGTTTATTTTCAAATAGCTATTGCATCACTAGGTACCTTTTATTTTTTTTGAGTGGAACCCTTATTGTTTTTCTAAAATAAAAGTAGCCTAAGTTATTCATTATAACATCAGCTATATGTCAGTTAAAGTACTGTTAAAATCGATCCAGCCGTTTCGGAGATTAGCCGGAACCAACAGAAAGACAAAGACACAATTTTAAAATTGTGTTTCTTTTACATAATTACTGTATATAATTTCATATTCATTTAGTAAAAAGCTGTTATTTTGACATTACAAACAAACAAACAATTCAATTTTATTTATCTGTATAGATAAATATCCAACCAAACGAGTCAGTATGTGGCTGAAGATTGTGTAACCTTTTATGATTCCAGGTACAAAACTTAGACGAGACGGGCATGGATCTACTGCAAAAGATGCTAATATACGACCCGGTGCGTCGAATTAGTGCTAAAGATGCCCGAAGACATAGGTACTTTAGAGATGTGAAACTGCCCCCCGGCCTCACTACACATGCTCCATACATTAGATATAACTCTGATGTATCTACAGACACAGATAACACCGGCCAGAGTGTGTAAATGCAAAATAGTTGTTATTTAAGTAATGAGAATGTGAGAATGTAGTACTGCTATATGGTTAATATGTGTGTGTGCCTAATGTACAGTTGTTTGGGTAATATTGAATGCTGTTTTTGGGGTATTTTTTATTAAGGTAATAATGGTTATTTCTAATTTAAAAAATAAATTTCGTATGTAACCGGTCTATTGAAATGGTAAATATAAAGAAAATTTTTGTTTTTCATTTTTGCCAAAATTAATGTGAAAAGTGCTCAAATTTTATATGGTTCAAAGTTACCCGACTTTAAGATGTGTATGTGAAGTATGTAAAAAAATATATTTTACAGCTTGATTTCAATTATTATTGGATATGATAAGATGCTAAAAATGTTTTTTTTTTAATGTCATATGCTTAGTGCGTAGAAGTTGGGGCCCAAGGTGTCTAATTAAATACGACAGATACAGGTGGTGTGCTCACTGGTTTTTTTTGAGTGCCAAAATTATTAGGTTAAAACCTACCTGATTTTTTTTGAGTGCCAGAATTATTAGATTAAGACATAATAATTCTGGCACTCAGAAAAACCCAGTGAAACCTGTTAATTATTATCTATACAGGGCTTAGTTAAAAAATAGACCTTAATTTTAGTACTTTAAAAAAAATTGAATTCTTAGCAAGCACTATACGTATATATAAGTTTGTGGTGTCTAAAACATTATGAACATTACGCAAGGACGTTTTTTTTAAATTACAACATAAAGTTCTTAGTCATATAACTTAACTAAGGCTTCATGTAGGTAAGCTCAGAAGCTTACATACATAATTATAAAGTTTGGTATTATATAGAAAATTATATGTAATTTTGTAATAAAAAAGTTTTAGATATTAGTGGTATCACTATTTAAAATTAAACTTTAAACAATAACATGTAAAAAGAGGGGATATATAAGTAATTTTTTTTTTTTGAAATTGTATTACAATTTTCAATGTACTACCTTTTCTTTTGGTTTCAACTATTATGAGGCCTTTTGGCCTCATAATAGTTGAAACCAAATTGTTTTAAGTTTCTGAAATTAATATGAAAGATCTTATAATTATAGATGCATTGCAGATGCAGATATAGATGCAGTCTCCTCTTTGTATAATGTGTCTTTCATTCAATATTTTAATGTTGTTCAATTTTCAAACACTTGCATAAAATTACTATGACTACTGAACTTTAAAGTAAATTAATCCTTGACTCGTTTCAGAACAAAGTTTTCGATTACAAACATTTGCTGCCATAAAAATCCTTTAAAACTAATAGCAATTATTAAATAAAAATTCAATATTTTGGTTACTTTTGTTTAAAAAATTACATGTAAATAGAAATAATCTTTGACTGCGACATAAAATATTCAGATATTGAACGGAAAAAAATATTGACCTATTTAGACAAAAAAAAAGTACATATTTTGTTTGACAAAAGTGTCATCATGACATTGTGGTAATGGTGTCTCGATGTGACAATATAATGTTTTTTATGAAACTTGTGGCCTTTTTAGATGAATTTGTTTTTATGTGTACTTCATTGAGGATGATGGGATTTCACTAATTCAAGTGCAAGTGTGTCGATTTATTATGCTGGGACCACACTAAAGGTTATGATGAGACCACACTAAAGATTATGATGATAACTATGGCGTCGTTAGAACCATAAATTTGTGTGACCTCGACATGATATGCAATTTTTATATTGGTATTACGATTATGGATAGAAAATGTGATGTTTTTCATCCATCTAACAACATCTATACCTATAAGTGCAGAATAATGTTTTAAGACTAGATAGTTGTTTTGTATTCAGTCAGCTCTTTTTAATATCCCGCTGCTGGGTGTGGGCCTCCCTTCAATACTAGAGGCATCAGGTCACAGCCCACCACGCTGGCCAAGTGCGGGCGGACTGCACTAGACTGGGATAGTTGTCTTACTAAGCACTACACTGTAAATAAACTTATGACCAGTGAATATACATTTTTGTGCCTTCATTATTGCTTTAGACATTACCTTAGTGTAGTCCCAGCATAACCTTGTAGCGGCCGGTCCCGTGTTTGAACTATATATATTTGGTAGGATATTAAAGGATATGTATGTATTTTTATTTCTAATTAAAGTAGTGATAAGCTGATAAAGGAAAACGATGGCAAATCATTACACGTATTATTTATATTTAACATTCATATTATATATTATTTAAACTACCAAATTGAAGATAAACAATATTTTAATTAGATTTTGAACACCAAGTTCGTAATCGACCTAAAAATAATTATATATCCTATTCCTAGGCGTTGACTTTTTCTTCATTTTTTGTTTTATTTATAGCCTATTTGTTCAAAATGTTCAATAGTAATATCATATACACAAAAAAACCGTACACCTATATAGACAAATAAAATTGAAGTATCTGTTTGTAATGTCAAAATAACAGCTTCTTATTAAATGCATATGAAACTATATACGTTACATTTCTTATGAAAAACACAATTTTTTAAATTTTATCTGTTTGTTCCGGCTAATCTCCGAAACGACTGGACTGATTTTGACGGGACTTTCACTGGTAAATAGGTAATGTTATAAGGAGTAACTTAGGCTACTTTAATTTTAGAAAATGAATTACGGTTCCGCTCAAAAAAATTAAAACGTATCTACGGACGCACCCGAGCGAAGCGAGTGAGAGTCGCTAGTCAAAAATAAAACTACTGAATTTAAAATATATAAACAATATGCTATTTTTAATCAGTGATATAATTAATAAAATCAGTTCAATTACGTACTTATGCAATATATTTTCAAATATCGGTAAATTGAGTGACCTCATTAAGAAAGTTAAGATTTTTGGCCAATTTTTCGACGCCTGCAATGAACAACATTGTAATTGGTTTTTATTGTCAAATTAGTAAAAATGCAATTACAATGGTTTTCATAAGGTGTTATCAGTTTTTTTTTAAACTTATATTCTTTTGGCTTATCACTCCTTTAAAATTAATGATACGATTTTATTATTATTTTATATTACTTTAGTATAGAGTTAATTCTATCTCTTAATCCCAATTTGGTTATTTATTTTAGACTTAGCAATTAATTGTCAGAATTAGTTACATACTTTCTCCATTTTAATATCGATATAATGAAATGCATTTAATTTTAATCTTATTATTATGTCTATGATTACTGTGAATTAAATTAATACTTTTAATACTTTGCTGTTTTATTTATTCTTCTTATTCAGTCCCCCTTTTTTTGACGTCCCACTGCTGGGCACGGGCCTCCCCTTCAATACGAGGGGGATCAGGCCATAGTCCAACGCTAGCTGAGTGCGGATTGGCGGACTACACATGTCCTTCGAAAAATTAGCTAGGTTCTCTCAGACATGCAAATTTCCTCACGATGTTTTCCTTCACCGTATGACAAGTAGTCATCATGTCAGAAAGGCACAGGGAGGTGGCCCTCTTCGGTGGGCAATGTACCATGCAGGTTACTCCTGGTACTTCTCTGATAGCATAGTGGACCTTGGAGCAACCCCATGGTTGCTTATTGATTTCTATTATTAATTAGCGGCAAATCCCTGATGAAACACAAAAATCTATCCCACGGGAATCGTACATTTATCCGGGATAAAAATTAGCCTATGTACTATTCCAGATTAATCTATCTCTGTGCCAAATTTCATCCAGATCCGTTCAGCCGTTCTGGTGTGATTGAGTAATGAAACATCCATCCATCTAAACTTTCGCATTTATATAGTAGTAAGACTTCTAACACGCATTTGCTATGCTCAGGATCATCACTATTGATCCTACGTGATCTAATTATACCAGGATAGAACAGACACACGCTGTATCCCTTACGGTGTAATCCTAGTTTCCTTATAATATCTAGAATACTCTATCATCAATTGAAATTAAAAATAGCAAATTTTTAATTCAAGTAATAAGTTATATAATAAAAAACATTAATAAAAATATTTTCGTTAGGTTAATTTTATTTTCTTATAAATATTCAATGAATACAGAAAACGTCTGGCCGCACAATCGTTTTGTCTCTGTCGCGACTTTCGGCTTTCATATTCAGGTGACGGCTGACAAAGAAACACTCAGTTTACTCTATAGGTCTATGAATGGTACAGACTTAGATTATTTATATGTCTAAGTAGATAGACAGTCGAAGCTGAAAACGCGTCAAAAAAATAGCGTCCAACTGTTGGCCACGAAATATGTTCCCCACGCTCAGTAATCAGTATCAGTCACACGCACACCATCTTATAACAAATATGGCTTGTTAGTTTTACTTCTAACTTCTTTTGCAGCGCGACACTATCTAGTTCTAGACATATAAATAATTTAAGGGCCTACAGAGTAAAATCATTCTGATACTTGTAGTGTTATTCTGTAAAAACATATATGGAACTCGACAGCTAAATCCGTGTATTCCACGTAAATACAGCTCCAGGTAAATTTCTAAAAAAATAATTAAACTTTAACTGTAACGCCGGCGTGTCTGCGGTCGTGGAGGGATTAGACTTCATACTAAATACTTAAAGAATATTCACGACATACCTGTTGAGTTAAAAAAACAGTAAAAAAAAATTTCAATACTAATTACGTGTGAGTTTAAATACAGATCAATAATAAAAAGAATAATCCCTTATCCTTCAATTTTGGTTTCTTATAAAAAAAACACTAATACCATAAAAAAATTATTTATTGCTCTCGAACATCAACAAACAAAACAACACCTAATTTACAATTTTAAATAAAATAGGAATAGAACTTAAATGTACTTAAATGTTATATTTAATATATACTCTGTAGTACCAATAATCAATATAAGTGAAATAGCGCCAGAAAGCTCGTAACTAGAACAACACAATTCAAATCTATTTCAAAAATGACTAAATATTTTATTATTTAACTAATGGGTTAAGGAGTGTAAAGGTAAGGACTAAGGAGAACAATGTGTGTATGAAAAAATGTCCGTCAAGGGGTTATCTTAGGGCGTTACTGTATTGTGTGGGTGAATTTTAAAGAAAGCACCAAAAGTTGTTAGAGTAGGATAGAAAAGTAAACGTGAAAAAAATTATTTTGGACTACGTAAATAAATGAGATTTTTGTGCATTAATCACCAAAAATATTAAAATACTAGAAACCTTAGTGAAAAACAAAACTGTCCCACGGGTACCATGATAAAAAGTAGACTGCGTGCTATTCCAGATATAATCCATCTCTGTGCCAAATTTCATCCAGATCCATTCACTATTCAGTCGTTCTGACGTGATTGAATAACAAACATCCATCCAAACTTGCATTTATAATATTAATGGGATTTGATTCAGCACACTTACAAACAACAACTACAAAATAATTATTATAACAAAATAACGTCACTATAGTGCACCAAATAGTTTAATCCGAGATGTTTATTAGTCAATTAAATATAGCACGCTTCTCAGAGACGAAATAATAAAATGAAAGTCAAGTGACGGTAACAATGGCACATACTTGGATGGGTGACCGTTATAGTTTAATCATAAAGGCAATATAGACATAAGATATCACTTCGTATATACATAATATTTTATAATAATTTAATAGCGAATATTTGACATTTTAAAATAAAACTGTCTTTTTGGACTCGTTCGCGGATATATTTGTTTAAAATTATTAACAAATACTGTAAGTTACTTGGGTGCCATTTTTGTATTTTTGAAAATCTATAACAACTATATAATGACCTCTTAAAATATCTGTAACAACTATATATAGACCTCTGAGACGTCTAACACCTCGGTCTCTCCCGTGACCATGATTACTGTAAAGCATTCGAAACGTCGGGAACCAAAAATCAAAATAACTCCGCGAAAAAATCCGAAAAGATAGTTTTATTTTGTATATGTCTATACATTATAAATTTTATTTTTTAAGATTTATTATTTTCATATTTATATTATGTAGCTACTACGTGAGAGTGTATACTATTGTGCGTATATTCTTGATGGCTATCAAATTTAAAATTTTCAAAACCTATTATAATAATTTTATATTAATTTATCATATTTTTATAAAAGTGTCAAAAAGAGACTATTTAATACAATACTGGTGATAATTTATTAAATATAATTTAAAAGTGAATATTTCCAAACTGTTTCATTATTTGTATAATCAATATTGTGGAGTTTTTGATTTCTTATAAAAGTAATGTGAAATTCTTATTGTGGAATAAAAATGTATGTATGTATGTATTTGAATAACTGCCTCGGTCCTGAGTTCGAGTTGCGGGTTGAGCCAAGTTTAGTTTAGTCTTTCTATTAAGGAATTTTCAGTAAGAGCCCGGAGTTGGGAAGTGCCTCTCACCGATCGTATCAAAGTAACGTCCCATCGGACTTTGAGAGTTAAAGGAATAGTGAGCGCACTTGTGTCTGTGTATACTATAATATCTCCTGCGCAGTTGGCTAGTCTCAGTAAAGTGAATGTATCGCTAAAATCAGTCAATGGGACATTATGTATGTATGCATATATGTATGTATGTATGTGCGTGTGTGTATACATGTACATATACATAGTATAAGTAAGTGTGTGTGTGTGTGTGTGTGTGTCTGTGTGTCTAATGGTGTATAGTGTACAGCGCAGGATGCTGATTGGGCTGCAGAATGATGCGGTGCACGCCGCTCAGCTCCTGCCCTAGCCCCTGTCCCAAGCCCGACACCACCGCACCCGGCTGTAACTGAGTTTTGTATTTGTTAATGTTTTGATTATATTATTTTGATAATGAAATCGAAAGAAGTTTATTTGTTACATATGCTGCTTATAGATAACAAAATTAGAATATGTACCTCTATTTTAAAAATTCGTTCAGAAATACCCAATAACCATAATATAGAGTCAAAATGGGTACCACTCATTTTATTTTTCATAATTTATCTTACCTACCAAATTCCTGCAATATAACTAGCTCCAACTCTCTGATTAAATGACTGTGACATATGGACAGACGGACCTAACCACATTATGAGAATTCCATTTTTGACAACGCAATCCTAAAAATGCAATTCACTCGCGTTCATATAAATACAAACGTGCGACAAACGCGTCTTGACAGTGCGTAAAAACTCATCGTGTGAGCACGCCCTTAGCTCTCTAATAACTTACCTGTAATATATTGGGCAGCATGGTCTGGCAAGAGGAAGTAGCCACGTGCAGCTGCTCCTGCTGCACCTGCTGCACACCCACCGCCTGGAAACATTCATTTATATACATAACTAACAGAAACGGCTACACCCGCTTTCAATCTATAAAAAAAACCTCTTTTGCTTTATCTTATATAGCGAGTCACCCTCACTTTGTTCAGGTTCGCCTCTATAATATTATTTGGATATATTGTTCGTATAAAAATACTAAAATTGCGATTAAAAAATTCGAGATGGCGATAGGAGGGTGAAAAATACTTTACGACCTATTCTCATATCTACCAAATCTACCAAATGTACAAAATAAAATTCATTACAATCGATCGAGCCGTTTCAAAAGGAGTGCGACCACAAACACCGTGACACGAGATATTTATATATTAGATATAATTATTATAATTCATTAATGCACAAAAAACTTTGCAAACCATACACTGTATAAACCTTTAGCCTCTGGAGTTAAAGTGTATAGGGGTCATACAGTATCCATTAAATTTTAAAATTAATATTAAAGTATCTATAAATTTTAGTTTTTTTGGAGCTGGATATTTTTTTTCAATTATATAACAATGTAAGCTATTGTATAAAAAATAAAAGAAAATCATGCATATTCCCTATTATAATAGTAAATAAATAGTTTTTTTGTCCTTCCTTCTTTCTATCTCTCTTCTTCTTCTATTCTAATATAATATAAACTCCTCCGAAATGGCTTGACCGATTCTTATGAAATTTTGTATACTATATTCGGTAGGTCTGAGAATAGGACATAAACTATTTTTCATACCCCTAAGTGATAAGGGTGGTATACCTACCCTAAAAAAATCTTTTTTTTTATTTTTGGACAATTTTTTTTTAATTTTTTTTAATGATATTGCATTAAACAATACATACAAACCAAAATTTTCATATTATATAATGAAAGATAGTACTTACATGTATTTGTATGGGCTGGTGTTGGGGATGTATCTGTATCGTCTGCACTTGTAATTGCGGTTGCTGAAATAAAACAATAATACTTAATTTATTTACTTGTACACGCTTCAGTTACACGTTTGGCTCAGTTTGTAGTGCTTGCTATACCTGCGGTTGCGGGTTCGAGTCCCGCTGGGGGCATTAATTTGTGTGATAAGCACGAATGTTTGTACTCCAGTCGTGGGTGTTTATATTTATAATATGTATGTATTTAAAGTTATATATGTGTAGTGTATCAACTATCTGGTATCCATAACACAAACCTCGTAGCTTACCATGGAATTTGACGGTGCTGTGTGTTAATATCCCAACATATTTATTTATTTACATATTTATATTTACTTGTACTGTGTAAATATAAAGGGATGGATTTAGGGAGGAGCAACCGAAACTCTCACAGGGAAATAGGGGGACCTGGGAGTATGATCAGAGCTTGAGGTATACTCTATAAACAGATGAGGGGGTGTCGATCATATCTATGTATATATATAAAAGGCAAAAGTGATTGATTGATGTATCTACGCAAAATTGAAATTTCGCACATGTATTCCTCATATGACAAAGGCATCCACTAAGGAAAGATTTTTCAAAATTCAACCCCCAAGGGGGTGAAATTGGAGATAAAAGTTTGTATGAAACTTTTTATTCTTTGAAGATATTTGCATGAAATTTCTTATGAATTGAGTACAGCAAAAATAATGAGTTACGTATTTCAGCGTTTTCTAAAATTCAACCCCTAAGAGGGTAAAATATTGGATGATAACATATAGCCAAAGAATATTTTTTTGTGAATTGAACGCGGCCGTAGTCGCGGGTTCTGCTAGTTTTATATATGCAATGAAGTTTTTAAATAAGTAAACAATCATTTTTATATAATAGTAAAAATTACCGTATTGATTTGTTGGTGTGTTTGTTGCAATTGAAGCGACTGCACCGTGGATATAACTGGATATTGTTGACCGCCCTGTAATTAATATAATTTTGCCCGTTATAAGACACTGTTTCTCACTTTATAAGATTGGCTGGAAGGAATCTCTTCTAGAGATACGTCCACTTTTACCCAATAGTTTCTTAAATTTACGCGAATATTTGACATGCCATTGATATTATAAATGAGAAAGTATGGAAGGATGTTTGTTATTCAATCACGCGGCTAAACGGATCTGCATGATATTTGGCACAGAGATAGATTATAGTCTGGAATAGCACATAGGTTACTTATTATTCCGGAAAAATTTACGGTTCTCGTGGGATAGATGTGTTTTAGATTTAGCGAGGGCGAGTTGCTAGTTTTAAATAAAACCATATTTTCAGATTTTTTCGCGATTTATTTAGATTTTTGATTCCCAAAGTTGCGAATGCTTTACAGCAATCATGGTCACGGGAGAGACTCTTCTCTATAGTTTTATTTAAAATCCACTTTTGCCCACTTGGTCTCTGTACTGTTAATATAACATTATTTATGTGCAATAAAGTGACAATTTTCGGCAACGGTCAATCTCACTGCGACTTGCGAACTGCGCAGGAGAAATTACAATGAACAAGTGCATCAAATAAAAATGCACTATTCATTCCTTTTCACTCTCAAGGTCCGACAGCCACATACTTCGACACTCTCAGTGAGAGATCAGGAGCAGGACCGACAGGACATATTTACGTGCTCTACCTAGGTATGAGGGTGCAACACCACCAACATCCCAAATCCAGACTGTTACTGTGATCAAGACACGCGGTAGCGTGTCCAGCCAAGTTCAAGCCAAAAGAACTGGCGACGCAGCACCGTGTGTATATTTTACGCGAACCATTTGGAGCCACTTTTCACCTCGTAATAACTCAAAATCTATTTAACATAAACTCATGATATTTAGTTGATTTATTCAATCCCCTTGGATTAACTAGAATCCTCAATTTCATAATTACAGCTCAAACGGTTATTGCGATATTAAAGTTTAATAATCAGCATTTTTATTACTGACTGGCTGACATATAGTAGTAAAACCTAACCCACTTCCAGATGACCTAGAAAGTTAAAGTTTGGTTTTCAGATAGGTAATCGTGTGCGTACAAAGAGAAAAATCCGATAACAGTAATCTTTTTAATTTTGAAAAAATAATAATTTGTTAACACCTTGCACCTTCCAAAACATAATAGCAATAGCTTAATAGCTAGTGCCTTTTGAAATATAATATCAATAGCAATCATAGTAACAGCAAAAACTTTTTCTTTCTCTGGAGAAAAGATTCTATTCTGATCTATTCTGCCTTATCCATTAACAAATTAGTATAGTAGCATAGTCGCAAAATTATGAACAAAAGATTGAATTTACATCACTTTGGAATTATGAATATTCTTTACAAAAACTCATGATATCCCATCAAAAACATAAATATGAAAATGGGAGTCAAGTTCAATATGAAGAATATGCGTGGTTGTCAACATCACTGACAAAAGAATTGAGAACCTGATTTTTTTTCACAAGAACATACAACATCCTAAAATAAATTAAAAACACAATTTCTTATTTTTCTGCTACAAAATTGTTCGCTATTTAAAAATAGAACTTCTTAAATTTGAACACTCGAATTATTTACACAGAGTAGATAACTTAGGATAAATAATTGAAGTTCAAGATTTGACTTGGCTAGTTCTTACATACAAGTTACCTTAGATTCGGTTAATCACTTATATCTTCTTTATGCTATATGCAAGTTACTGTTTTTATATTGTAAGGTCAACATGTCTCACTCTTTTAAAAACTCGCTTTACTGGTAAAAACTATTATATCTTACCTGCACTCCAGATACAGTGATGCCTTGTGGTGTATGTATTGGCACTGCTAGTTGCTGCACACTGCCCACTTGCAGCACTTGCTGTTGTAGTTGCTGCACCTGTTGCTGCACTTGGTGTTGTTGTTGGAGTTGTTGTTGTTGCTGCTGTTGTTGGTGCTGCTGCTGTTGTTGTTGTTGCTGTTGTAGCTCTTGTTGTTGCTGGAATTTGATTGGGATAAATATATTGATGAAAAAGGTCTGAAGGTAGGAAGTGAATTAAATTAAATTATTTTGTATATCAATCCTATAATAAAAGTCGCAATAAATTGGTCAATCTGTTCTAGAAATTAGCAAATGTAAATTGGTCGACAAACATTTTCTTTAGTGCTTGTTTGGGCTTCAGTTTGTTGCAAATTACCATATGATCTTAAAAAGGAATCCATATTTTTTTAACACAAACTTTTTTAATACCTAAGTATAGATAAAAATATTCTTCTTTAAATATAAAAATAAATGCAACATAAGTAAACTACCTTGAAGGCATACAATCTCTCAGACCCGTCGGGACTCAGCACACACATTTGCACATGACTGTACATGTGTTTTTTTAAACTGTGCAAATACATATAGCTCTTGACGCACAGACCGCACTTAAACCTCTTTTGTGTGCCATTTTCTTGATTTTGCACAATCTGTGTTTCCTGTGCACTATCTTCCTGAACTTCCTCCACTTTCTCAGTACATTTTCCTTCGGATATTGTTTCTTTAGTTTCCTCCGTTTCGTATGTTTCTGCGTTATTTGCCACTTCGTTCTCTTTTTTATCTAGGGCATGTGTTTTCACATGCTTTTTGTACGAACTGCATTCTATGAAACCTGGAATGGTATTATTTTATATTAATGTTATTAAATGAGTTTATCGTATTTATCATTTTAAGGATATTTAATTATAACTCTGTATTTATTATTTTATTATTTTTAGGATTTACTAGAGTTGCTAAAAATAGCAATTTTTATCACAAACTGTTCAAAGTTAATGTACCGTGCCATCTTGTAAGACATATAATTTAGTCGAGTGCGAGTGAGTGTGTGTCTATACGCCTTCGTTAGACGACTCGTCGCCTTAATGATTATTTGTTCAACCACCAATACTTGTCGTACTTTACAAAGTTTTTCTTCTTTTAAAAACAAAGCTTTATTTCTAAGATTTATATACATACATAATACATATATAGATAAAATACCATTTTTCAGTTTTATAAAAGTAAAATTTGTCGTTACACTAATAAAATTGACATTTAGGTCAATAATTCTGTACTAAAAAAATTGGTAATTACACAATAAACACTGAGATGATAGACTTTATGTATTAGTAGATTATAATGTAAAACGCTCAGTACTCACCCTTCCCACATACATCGCATTGATACCGCTTCTCTCCAGTGTGCGTCCGGCGGTGCACCGCCAGGTACGAGGCGGAGCTGAACCGCTGCGAGCACTGCGCGCATCCGAACAGCTTCTCCCCAGTGTGCTTGCTCGAGTGCACGCGCAGCTCCGTGCGGGACGTGCAGCCTTTGAAGCACACCGGGCACACGAACCTGCGGGATGTGGTGTTAGTTGCAGGGCCAGATAACACTCGTTGATTTACCCGACCAATAAACCTCAAAATACCCGGTTTATCCCGCCGGCGCCGACCATGAACAGAATACCCGAGAAAAGTTTTTTTAAGTAATTTTTTCCCGTTTTATATAGAATAGAAGAAAGTACTAATGTTAGAAAAAGAAATCATTTTAATCGGTTCTCAATTTTTTTACAGCTTTCAAATATTAAATCAAACGTAAAAAAACACTTAAAATATCAAATTAATCAGCTAAATTAAAATACCTGATTTGATCCCGCTCAATGCAAGTACCCGTTAAAATTACCCGCCATCAAAAATCGTCTAAAATTACCCGCTTTTTGGGTAACTTACCCTTTGGGTGACAAGTGTACGATGACCAACTTTCAAATCACAACGATTTTAAAGAAGTTTCACTCCTAAGAACACACAATACTCACTTCTTATTACCAGTATGTGTTAACATATGGTTATTGCGTGCAGATGATGTTGTGAAGCGCGCGGGACAAAGTTTGCAGGCGAACGGCCTCTCCCCAGTGTGAGTGCGCTTGTGGTATATTAACGCGGACTGCTGTGCGAACGTTCTCGAACAATATTGACACTCGAATGGTCTTTCACCTGTAACAAATCCAAAACTTAAATACTATAAAATATATATTTAACTCAAATCGGTACTGATGAGATTTCCCTTGACAACTAGCAAAAGTATAAACGGTATAATTTACGCTTAAATATTTAACATTTTAAAATATAACTATCTTTTAAGATTTTTGCACAGATTTATTTGTTTAAAATTGTTGTTTTAAAATTAACAAATATTGTAAGATAGGTAGGTACTTTGTAAATGTAAAGCATTCGTAAAATCGGGAACGAAAAATCAAAATAATTCTGCGAAAAATACCGAAAAGATAGTTTTATTCAAAATGTCCTCCTGTGGCTGTACATGCTAGCCACTATACAACCGAGGCAGTTGCTCAAAACTAACTAAGGCAAAAACAAAAATAAGACTAGGGACTCACCCTCGTTCCGCTCGGGTTTGTCCCTACATTTTAACGGTTCGCATAGATTTCTCACAGATGAGATTTTCCGCAGTAAAAAGTATCCTATATGTTGATCCGGATAACCAGTTATCATCATTAAATTCATATCATCAAATTTCATCAAAATCTAGCGTTGATTTCTCGTGATACGGTCACAGACAGAGAGACAGACAATAATTCTAAATAGGTACCTACTATAGATAGATCTTAATACACATCACCATCTAGTTCCATGGTAAGCTACGAGGTTAGTGTTATGGATACGAGATAGTCAATACACTACACATATATAACTTTAAATTTACATTATAAATATAAACACTTGAGAACAAACGTTCGTGTTCATCACACAAATGAATACCTCCAGCAGGACTCGAATCCGCGACCGCGCAAGTACGGTCACTACAAACTGAGCCAAACGTGTCGTGACTTTAATAAATTATTTAATAATTTAAATTAATTTTAAACTATCGAAGAAGCACATTTTTGGTTAATATGTACATATATTTAAGCTTACCAGTATGCACTCTCATATGTGCATTCAACTTGGAAACTTCAAAGAACGCTTTATTGCAAACGTTGCATACATGATTTCTTATTCCTCTATGTTTTTTCATATGTTGACACAAAGTAGAATGTCGTCTGAACGGTTTATTACATTCTATGCATTTCAACGGTTTTTCCCCGGTGTGCAAACGGAAATGCACCTGTAAGGCCGATAAAAAAACTGGCATCAATAATAGCGTAAAAAAATGATATTAAAATTATAGTGACAGACATTAAATTGATAGATACAAACCGCAACTGTCATGAAAATAATCTTAAAATTAAAATAATTAAGATAAAGCATATAAACTAAAATGGGTTTCGATTATTACAGTATTTTGGGAGTAAAGCGATCCAGTGACCAAAGTGAAATTAAAAAAGCATACAGACGCCTCGCACTCAAATACAATCCTGAAAGATACGACAACGACGAAAATATGAGACGAATTTTCGCTCTAATTGGCGAGGCTTATGAGGTTTTAGTAGATCATAAAAATAGGGCGATATTCGATCAATATGGGGAAGAAGGACTTAAAAGGGGAGTGCCCGGACCTAAGGAGTACATCCAGCCTTATATATACCACGGCGATCCTATAAGGACTTATCAGGAATTCTTCGGAACAGGAAACCCGTACGCCGACTTATTGGATTACTATGAGAACCCACCACCAATGTTTGAATCTCCATTGGGTAAAGGATATAAGGAAAAAGATCAAACGATAGTTCGTCCACTAGCTCTTACTTTGGAGGAGGTATTTAGGGGTTGTTTAAAAAAAATGAAGATACAACGCCTCGTGTTCACCGACGAAACCTGTTCAGAGTTGAAACTTCGCGAGAAAGTTTTATCTATTCCGATCAAGCCAGGCATTTATCCGAATACAGAGATTAAATTCAAAGAGGAGGGTGACCAAGGTCCAACTAGAATACCAGCGGATGTTATATTCATAACTGAGGATCGTCCACATGAAAACTTCGTCAGATCAGGGTTAAGCGATCTCTTGATGTTCAGAACCATATCATTGCAAGAAGCTCTATGTGGTATCACGATAGTGTTCTCTTCTTTAGACGACAGAACTTTGAGGATTAAAATTACTGACGTTATAACCCCAACTTATGAAAAAATTATCGAAGATGAAGGGTTACCGATACCGGCATGCCCTAATAGGGCTAGAGGGAATTTGAAAATACGATTCAATATAATTTTTCCGGTATATCTATCGAAACGTAGTAAAAAAGCTTTCGAAAATGCGTTTAAGACCAAAGATGAGGAAGATGAACATTTTGAGAAGTTACCGTGCGGAGCGTTGTCTGTGCCATCAATATATAATTAACATTTATTGATTTGATTAAAATCAAACTATTATGTCATTTTCGTTTGTACATATCTTATACACTTTTATTACATATCCACGTAACAATGTAAAGAAATTGTAGAAATCAAATGTTGTATCGATTTGAAACTACATATCTATAAGAAATTCGTACGACAGTATGTACAATAATTTTTAACTTTTAGGCTTATCTGATGAAGAAGCCAGGAGAGGAATAATGGAACTCTTCAATGACTCTTAGAAGTGCCACATTTTCAAACTATTATTAACTATATCTTTATAAAAATTCAATATTTAAATACATTTTAAATTTTAAATTTAATATTATTTATAATATTTTTAATTCACTATTATTATATTAATAACTAAAAAAAAAACAATAAAAAACGGCTTACCTTCAAATCAGTAGAATTATAAAAGCTCTTCGAACATATAACACACACGTACGGTCTTTCGCCTCTATGCCTAGCCATATGTGACCTTAGGGCATAACCGCTAAAGAACCTCTTCTCACAAACAGTGCACTGATGGGTTTTCTGTTCGAAATGTGTTTGTCTGTGACGGTACAATAACGTTTTGGAAGGGAATGTCCGTTGACATACTGAACACGTCGGCTGTTTCGGCGGACGTTGTTCATGTGTACGCATGTGCATCTTTAACATACCCGGACCCTAAAATAAGGATATTCTATTTGATGATTTAAGCTAGAATATAAAGAAATATTATAATTAACAAGAATTAATGTTGGGTTGTCCAAATATTAGAACTGAGTTCTTAATCAACCTAAATGCTTGTTTCTTGGCGGGTTTTTTGAACTACTATACTCTTAATAAAGGACAAAAATTTAATTTTTTACTCTTAATAAAGTCGAAAAAGTCTAATTCGGTTGTTTCTTACATTATTTTTTTTAATTATTTTTAGTTTTCTCTACAAATTGACATAATGTAATTTATGACAATACAAATTTAGTGCTTATTAATTTATACCAAATAAGTAGGTACCTACACTACGTAATATGTATTATAATAATAAAATAAAAAAATAACCTACCTTAAAAGTCCTGTCGCATATCGGACATTTGGGCGGTTTCTTACAGTTTGCCTTTATCCAGTTAGAATGTGAACGCATGTGTAGTTTCAACCATCTGGCGTGTTTGAATTCTTTGTGGCAAAGATTACAGACGTGGCGTCCTGGGGCCACAGACGATGTCGCTTGAAATACTACCATTTGGAGGTAATTCTCCTCATCTGAGTTTAAACCCTCGTCTGTTTTTGCTTGGACTGGCACTGGATTCAGCTAATTATGGTATTTTAAAAAACGAATAAAATATTATATCTGTACTAGCATTGCCTGCGGCTCCGCTTGCGTTTTAGTCTATTTCAATAAGATTTTCCAAAAAATATTTCATGTACAGATTCGGGCTTAGTTACGATTTTATTATATGTATAGATACAGGATATAGCAAATGAACGGGACATGGAAGAAATGTACCTTAAATATTGAAGATATTAAGTTTCACTCAAAAGAAATTATTTTTAAAAATATTAATCACTGCATTTAAATAAAGCTTACCAGAGCCGGTAATCGAACCAACTAAAAGTGCAAAGAAGTACGTCACTTTTTTATCGAATTACTTAATCAATAGGGTCTATGATAAAAACAAAATCTCTCGAACATTGTATTTCACAATTACAGAGCAACCCTTAAATATTGAAGATATCAAGCTTTTTTCAAGGGAAACATCCACTTTCTCTTTAGTGAAATTCAATATCTTCAATATTTAAAATACTTTTCTTACATGCCCCATTCGTTTGTATAATAGTTCTATGTGCATAGTCCTGAGTTATTTGGTGACAACGATTTTGAACCAAATATATTTAAACTTAATATTAAAAAAACATTAAGTTTATAAATATAGAAGTTTATAAATGGAATAAAAATACATTCTTCGAAATTTGTTATTTGTTTTGTAAATATTTCGTTGAAATAATATTTTAATTATTGATTTATTCCTAAGACCACTACACAAATTAAAAAAATATATATAAATATATAAAATTATCTATCTGTCCCTAAGTGCACTATGTACAAGGAAGATATTTAAGTGGAGATTACCAATTTCTATCTCTTCTAAGATTTCAATACATACCTTATCTATATCGAATTCCTCTTTTTGTAATATTTCTTGAGTAATATTCGTCTGATCAGCACTTTCTGTGAAGAACCCGTCTAAAATTTGACTGCTGTTCAAACTAGGCACTTCTATGAACTGTATATTTCTGTACACTGAGTTCAGGTCTTTTTCTTTCTGTAAAATATTTAAAAATCAAATATTTTGATATTTTTTTTCGCTAGCAAACAGCAATTTGTATTCACAATAAGTCTATTTTTTACCGACTTCTTAAAAGAAGGATGTAAGTACACAGTTAGTCTATATTTTGTAGGTATGTTGTGCTTATTTTCACCAATTGTGAATCGATTTTCACATTATAAAAAAAACGTTTTAAGAATATCGATGTGTGTACCTACCATTTCTTTTTCTAAATGTTACCTATATGATTATTTTGATTATGATAAGACGAATATAACGACACCTCGTATATGTTTAAACCAATCGAACCTATTTATTATTTATTAAGTTACAGAGCATGTAAAGAAGGATAAAAGCATTATTGTTAGTACCTAAACATACGAGAGATATGTGAGTTTTAACTTCCGGAAGTAAACTTAAAATTGAAGTTTTATATAGATGAAATAGACTCAAATGTCTTCTGTAAGTTAAAAAATATTAGTATAGCTTAATACAATATAGTCTCCTGAAAAAATAATACTTTGTAACTAACCTCTAAATTTTCCAATTTTAGCGCTTCCTCTGCCATCAACTTCGCTTGTTCGCGGAGTGTACCGTCGTTTCTCTCCACCAGCTCTTTGAACGCGTGACATCTTGATATCTGGTGAACACATTGTAGGCAGAGCTGAGCTGGTAGACCGTCACCTACTGCCACCTTAGTTACAGAAATATGTTTGTTTAAAATCTTTAAAAGGACTATTTTATAGAATTTTGGTACACGCTTTGACAATATCTGTATATAGACCAGAGTCGATAATTTTTGAAACCAAAAAAATAATAGTAGGATGCAACCCATTAGAAAAGGAGGGGAATATTATAAAAATGAAAAAAAAAATAATTTACGGGCGATCTGAGGTCGGGAAGGGGGTGGGAGGGAGCTTTTAAGGGTAAAAAACGGTTTTTCTCGATTTCCGGCAAAACTAAAAGTCCTATCGAAAAAAATCAAATAGCAAAGTTGTAGGTAATAAAAAGATTAAAACTTTTGTATTTACACTTTTTTCACATAACCTCAAAATTTATGTGAAAAATTCAAAAAACCAACTTTTTGGTTTTTTATTTTTATCTTTCACAAAATTTTTTTTAACAAATTTGGTGAAAACTTGCCTTTTTATGTCTCAAATACGCTGTAATTTATTTGATTAAAAATATTTATTTTTTCACCTTATTTTGAATTAATATCGAAAAAACACCCTAATTTTCAATTGAAAATTCACCCGTCAAAATATCAGCTTTTTTCAAAAAGTTAGTATGTTTTCTGTTCGTTGAAATGTCTACTTTCCGATGGTGAAAAAAAATATATGTTTAATAAATCTTTTTTATTTCATACACTTGCTTATCATCTGCCTTATTGCAGATGATACAAACAGATTCATCCATACTGATAATCTGAAAAGACAAAATCGAATTTATAATGCCTTCACTATTTTATCGTGAGTATACCTCCATGTTATGGAATAGGGTATTCCATAATGGGATCACATTTTTGAGAAGCAATTTTTTGGTTGATTTATTTTAGTTAATAATATTACGGAAAGTGTTTATTATTTGTTGATTTCATTATTACTTTTCAAGAGTGATTACGACTGCATTTAATTGTAAACCATTAAACTGATTAAAATAAAACTTTTGTACTGATTTTTTTCAGAATTTGTTTATGTATTCCATATTCGGTCCTTCTCCTATAATATATAGATAATAGATACATAAGTATATACTAGATATATACGCGAAGATTGTGACGATGTGAATGAATGTTTGTGATCCTTTTACGCAAACACTACTGGACTGATGTTGATAAAACTTCACAGTAATATAGCTTACTAGTGAGTAGGTACGTTTTAACAGTAATATGCATGTATTATACATATAAACGTTCTTCTTGAATCACTTTATCTATTACTGAAAACTGCATTAAAGCCCGTTGCGTAGTTTAAAAGATCTAAGCGTACAAACAGCGGGAACGACTTTGTTTTATACTATGTATAGATACATCAAAGTACCTAACATATAGGCTATCTATACCTAAGTACTAATATTATAAAGAGGTAGACTTTGTGAGTTTGTGACGTTGTAGGGGGTAATTTCTGGATCTACCGAACCGATTTAGATGAAATTTGGTAAGAAGATAGAAGTTTAAGACTCTGGGACGGACATAGGATAGGATACTTTTTATCCCGGAAATCATCAATCCCTGAAGTGGTTGGACATGGGGAGGACAGTTTTTATTGGGAAGCAAGCTAGGGACAAACCCGAGTATTTTTTATAAAAATTTAGTAATAAAAAGTTAGAAAATACAAAATTAAAATATGCGCGTACACTTTTCAACCGACTTCAAAAAGGAGGAAGTTCTCAATTCGACTGTTTTTTTTTATGTTTATTACCTCAGAACTCCGTCATTCATTAACCGATTTGGACAATTTTTGTGTTGTTTGAAAGTGATTACTTCCAGATTGGTCCCATTTAAATAAAAAAAAATACCACCCCTAAGGGTGGAAAAATAGCTAATGATGGATTTAACCTACTTCTAATTGTCATATTGACTTGAAACTTTGACCTGATCTGATGGTAAGGCCAGAAGGTGGATAAGTGGAACTCTTCAACGGCTAATAGTAGATACTTTGAGTTTGGGCTTATTTTGTTTGATTTGACAAGCCAAGCCTAACACTTTAGAATCCTTACTTTGCTACTACTGTCTACACTAAAAAGGGAAAAATAAAAACTTTTTAACAAAGAAATAAAAACCGACTTCAAACAAAAGCACTAAAAAGTAAAAAATAACTGATTGGTAGTTTTCATTTACTATATAACACATACATACATACATACCTAATCAAATATTTTCGAAATCGGTGCCAGCCCATACAAAGCAAAGCACACCGACTGTACCACCGATGTATGTATGTATCATGTATGTGTTATATAGTAAATGAAAACTACCAATCAGTTATTTTTTACTTTTTAGTGCTTTTGTTTGAAGTCGGTTTTTATTGTACTGTAATAATATCTCCTGCGCAGTTGGCTAATCTCAGTGAAATATTCATCACCATATTTACGACGTTTCACATCAGTTTATTGGACAAAATATTTTTTTATGGTGTTCAGTGACAAACGAGCAGACAGACTACCTGATGGAAAGCAGTACGTGTTGCCCATAGCAACTACGGTTCATGCACTTAGGTTTTATGTTACAAAAATGCAGAACCGCAGGTGCGTTGTCACTGTGAGGACTAAGATGATATGCCTCTTGCCTATAATTGCGCTGGCTAGGTACCTTATCCTTTAAACCGGAACACAACAATGTAATCATTGTTGCTTAGCGGGAGAAATAGATAAGGGGGTGGTACCCATCCAGTCGGACTCCTCAGGCTTGACAGAATCCTACCACCGGTAAAAATTACAATTTAAAAAAAAATCCAAGAAATACTTAAGTTTCCCTTCCATTTCTGAGGATTAATATTTTTAGTAGGTATACGAAATAACGTAGGTACAATATTTTAATTATATTATTATTTTATATTAAAACAAACTAATTTAGTATATTTTATTTATTATTATAAGCATAAAAAATAGTAGGTAGGTAACTCCATTGTTAACGAAAAAAAAATTTGCCTAAGGATAATTAATTCAAACATTAAATATTCCAAACAATTTATATTCTTTATAACTATTTGTCTATTTTTTTATATTCAAATATTTTAATGACACACGCAAAATTAAATAATAAAAATCATCAAGAATAATTTAAACTTTTGAAAAGAAAGTACTTTCTATTAATTGTCAATGCATTTTGAAATATCTCATTCTCTCATCCATTCGACACGCCAAAATCAGACAAGGACAGCCAGATATTTCTCAACAAATTCCTAGAATACGCAAGCACTAAAGTCTTGAATGACTATTCCATGACTTCTAAACAAAGATGACTTACGCGGGACTGTTGTCGCATCTTTCATACGAACGAATCAACGTGTAAGAAAGAGACGACAGCCGTTTCCAAAAATAATTTTATCATTTTGTCATCTCACCTGCACTTTTGATATCCCCATTAACATAGTTGCAGTGAGTTGTTCGAATAAAGGACGCATGTCCTTTTTTATCTGCAAGCAAGCGCGACATATCTTTTCGAAATTGTATTTCTGCGTTTTATTAGTGGCAGCCATTTTGTCGGACACCAATCCAGCTGTTTTTGTCCTTGTTATGCAGCTCTCACAGAAATATTTGATATAATATTATAAGAAAAAAAAAGTACTTTATTCACAAAATGCTTTATATATTTATGTAATAAGCGCACATAACAACAAAACACAGTTTACATGTTAAATTTTAGGATAAATAGATCTCACGTACACAAGAAAGACAGACATAGCTTTATAGTTATGAAGTCACTTTGCCAACGAGCATATTGGAAGGGGAAAGTGTCATTTTGAATTGAGAAAACTGTACGAGACAAAACGAGATAGCTATAATTGCGCAACATCCTTACATTTCTGGCTATAGACTTATTTTACCACACATAAATAAATGTTTAACACTTTAATAGACTTTATTAAAAGGAAGCTAATGATACTAAAATTTAAATATGAGAAATAATTCGTACATTGAAAATATAAGATTATAAATAAATTAAATAGGTATATCTAATCTATTCTAACTCAGCTTCATACACTTATGAATGAAAGAGATAAATATCTGTGACGTATACAATACATAATAGTATTTCAATTATTGTTTGTTTTAATATTATTATTTAAGTAAATCGCTATATTAATATCGGAATTAATAACATATCAACTAAATAAAATAAATGAATATGTTATTAAAAAAGATTTTAAGTGTAACTGTTAAAGAATGCATAAACTGATTACTGCATAGAAGGATAAGCTATCTCTTTCTTTCAATAGGTAATCGTACCAAGAGGAAAGGGATGATCCAAATTTTCTTTTCGAATTAATGATTTTCGGTGTGCTGTTCCTTTTAATATGTATAAAGATAATTCTTTGTGTAATACTAGTTTAATGTGAAATACTCGCATTTATAATGTTTTTTTTTTGATTTGATATAATATTATTAGAATGATAAAATAAGTTTGCTGTTTAAAATAATCTTTTTTTTCTGTGGTATTTGAAATTGTCAGGAAACTCAGCTGTCAAATACAACAAAAACTTGATTGTCGAACAAAATGTCATGGGGATTATGCGTTTTGGATTTTATAATTCAACTTAAATTAAATTATATATATTAAATGGAATGGTGACTTATACCAAAAATGAAATTGTCTATGTGACTTGTGATACAACTATAGTACCCTAGTAATACTAATAATACAATATTATTGTATGTATAACTTAACGTTGTCATAATATTAGATAATGGATTATTTTTTCATATTTTCATATTGGGTGTGGTTTCAGCTATTAAAATATGCCTGAGCATTTAGAACTACAACACCTTGTGGATCTCTCAGTGGGCAGTGGTGACGAATCTATACCAAATTTACTGGAGAACAAGAGACCACTTATCAAACGATGTCCCTACCTGGGACTGATTCTAGCGACGTTGTCATCACTGTTTTTTTCGCTATGTTCAGTAATTGTCAAAAGTTTGGTAAATATAGACCCTATGCAGCTAGCAATGTTCAGGTTTATAGGGGTACTACTTCCAACTATACCAATTGTTATTTACACAGAGCAGCCAATATTTCCGCAAGGTAAACGTGTTTTGCTAGTTTTACGGTCAATAGTAGGCACAGTTGGTTTAATGTTAAGTTTTTATGCCTTCCGTAATATGCCTCTTGCGGATGCCTCAGTTATAGTTTTCTCAGTGCCTGTATTTGTAGCACTGTTTGCGCGAGTTTTCTTAAAAGAACCATGTGGTATTTGGAACACAATTTCGATTATTTTAACATTAATTGGTGTAATTTTAATCACACACCCACCATTTATATTTGGTAGCACACCTTCTGAAACTAATCAGAACTATAACAGCTTAAGAGGTGCTATAGCTGCCTTTGTTTCAACAATATTTGGAGCAAATGCATATGTTTTATTAAGAGTTCTAAAAGGATTACATTTTTCAGTAATCATGACCAATTTTGGAGCCATTGCAATTATGCAAACACTTTTTTACTCTTTTATATTTGGTGTTTTGTGTATGCCTAATTGTGGAACAGAAAGATTTTTAGTTGTATGCCTTGCCTTATTTAGTTACTTAGGGCAAATTTTACTTACTATGTCTTTGCAAATGGAACAGGCCGGACCTGTTGCAATTGCTCGGTCAGCAGATATTGTTTTTGCCTTTCTATGGCAAGTTATGTTTTTTGATGAAATACCTAGCAAATTCTCAGTATGTGGAGCTATTCTAGTATTGTGTTCTGTACTACTTGTAGGTTTGCGTAAATGGGCACTAGCATTGCCACCAGATTCACAGTTAAGGAGTAAGTTAGGGATGTTGGCACAATAACTAATACAAATGTTTAGATTTAGTATCCTGTCATGAATCTTTTAATGAATATAAAATGTTTTGTAACTTGGCTTCTCTCGAACACATTGTAAGTTGTTTATTTATTCACATTTATCAATTGTAATAACAATTGTACATATATCTTTTGACCAATATATATGATTAATATTATTACTAATAAAGATTTTAGTTCTACAAAAAAGTTTACAAGCTACAATATATTCTGCATATATATATATATATATATATATATATATATATATATATATACATATTTAATAAAGCTGTAGCTAATTGTATATGGAAATTAAACTAGGCTGCAGTTTAGTATATGGGACACGGCTTCTGGAGTAGTGGGTAATATTTCTGGATAGGGGAGATGATAGGCTATCTAAATATATTAAAAAATATTTTGACTCATTCATTTTCTCAAAATAATTTTTATATATTTAGACTCCCTATCATATCCCCTGTTCAAAAATATCACCCACTGGTACAGAGGCTGCGTTCTATATACTAAACTTGTGCCTTAAACTATTACAATAATTATATTTCATATCTGTAAGACAGTCATGAAGTCCAGTAAAAATTGTGTTGTGCGGATTTGCATCTCTCTTGAGTTGTGTTCCCTATTGAATTCCTAATATGTTATTATTAATACAATTCTTATATAAGTCTAAGATTAAGCATTCATATCTACCTATATATCGCAGATGGATTGTTGATTCTGCTGTTTTACAAAACTGCTAGTAATTTTACATAACAGCTCCATTATGTAAAACAATTGAATGAAGTTTAGAGGTTTTACATAATTACTGTACGTGCGTACGTAATATTGCTTAAATATTTTTCGTTTATCAATGCGGCGGGTCAACAAATAGATGTTATGTAAAAAAGAGTTAAATGAAATGTCATATTGTAGATTGTAAATTTTAGTAATTTTTTATTTCCGACGTGACAGATCCGACTTGGATAACGTAGTTTGAATAGGATAAGGCTACGTTTCGCTCCCGCATAAGCCTTCTCAATACGTATTTTTTTTATTTCAAACCTTTCTAGGTTTCTTATTTAGAATATTATTTCTTTTCATTTCCCCTACTATCAAAAACGCTGTTCAGCGATTTTACATAACGTAGCTGTTTTGTAAAATAACTAATAGTTTAGTAAAACAGCCGATTCGGCGATCTATCTGCGACAACAACAGTTATGCCGTTCTGCATTACGTCTAAACGTGGGTAGCAGTTTTATAAAACGTAGCTCAATGACAATTGACAAACCAGCTGAACGTCGTTCGGTTTTACAAAACGGAGTTGTTATGTAAAACAACTAGCCGTTTTGTAAAAAATCGGATTTGATAATGAATCTCCGCAATATATGTACTTATATCATAATTCAGATCATAAGTTTTTAAACAAATGTAATTTGTGTTTCAACTTACCTAGTCAGTGATTTATTAGACACCAAAGTTTTATTTATTAAGTAAAAATGTATATAGATAACTTATTTATTTGAAAATAGATATGGCATTGATAGATGTAGCTGTTACAGTTAGCCTCATATTTAGTATTATAGTGATGTTCACTCATTTTGATACACTTAAAGTGTTTGTATATTCTAACAAATTATTTGCATAAGTGTTGATTGACTTTGTTGTGATTTAATTGTTGTGTTATTTTTGCCTACTATACCTGTGATAAAATGTAATAATTTAAAATACTAACTTATTGCAAGTTCATATCATTTAAATATCAGACTACTTGTATATTTAATTTTATTTTTACAGTTTCTGGTAAGCTATTCATAAATTATGGTTCAAAAACAGAGGGATGGTGTTGTTCATTGTTAAAAAGTAAAGAGGGGATATACCTTGCTTAGTTTTTGTAACACTTTTGTTTGAGCAAAGAAATAAAAGGGTTGAAAAAAGCAAAATTATACATGATGTATTTTAAGAAGGCTTCTTTAAATACAAATAATTGTATCAAACAAATATGATTGCCTAGCAGTACCTATATTATGTGCACTTAGCTGCCTGCTAAAAATAAAAGTTGATTCTCAACTTGTATATTATTTCTTATTTATAATACCTTTATCATAAATATTAATTTTTACTGCTCAGTAAATTTAAAAAGTATTAATTCAGTACTACAGAGTAGTAAGATATTTTATTATACATGATGTGGAGGTATTATTATAATCCTGTATATACTAGTAAGGGTCCCTTTAGCACATTTATGTAATATTAAGAAGGAGTCCCATTATCTATCACCTAATATATAATATAGTATAATACAAATCCTGGAAGACATTTTTAAATAACAGAAACTTTAAAAGTAGTAAAGGTGACTTAGATAAGCGTTACTGAGTCTGAAAGTTTCAGTAAATGCCATTTCTATTTTCTATGAGTTCTAACTTCCACTAGCACTTGGCCGAATTTGTGGTGATTTTGGAGTTTTTGGCCAAAAGAACAATTTATTATTTTTTATCTTTTTAATTTGGCTTAAAAACAAAAAAAAACTAAAAACTTCAATAAATACAAAAAAAATACAGAAAAACAAAAGTAAAAATTGCATCCGATCAGGATTCGAACCTGGACACTGATTGTCAATCTTGCGCCTTGGCTGCTTGACCAATATGCTTACGCCGTGCAAATAAATCGCCGCTATATATAAATAAATAAATACCTACAAGAATTGCTCTTTTAAAGGTATTAGATTATGCGATTTGTCTTTCAATGTCGCATTATTTTTTTATCTGTTAATTATAATGAACTAATAATAATATGATTCAGTGATGCTACGTTAGAAGTTTTCTTTTGAGGGAAAAAAACTCCGCGTCGAAAAATGTGTATAACAGTCTATGTTTGCTCCTATGTGACGTTCTAGAGACCAACCGCGCAAGCCGATTCTGATGATTCAAACGTCGTTAGTTCGTCTTGATAACGCGAGTGTTTTATGCTATATAAAAATAGTTGAAAATTAAAATGGCAGATTTCAGGCGCCAATTAGTGACTTTTGGACATAAATAAATGACAATCTCCAAGTTATAGTGATATTAAAATTCAGGATGTAAACAATAAATAGTTCATTCTCTGATACTGAATCATTATTACTACAATCTGAAAATTCTTGTGAGAAAAGGTCTTCAGATTTTTTTTCATAGTATTCTTCCCTAGCAGCTGCTTAAGGTGGTATAACCACGGTAATATTATATACAGTATTAAATGTTCATACAAACGGTCGGAGATCGAGTTATACCTATTTAATCTGTGATACCCACGCGCGTCGCGTTCGGTATAGGTACCCTTTTTTTTTTTTTTTTTAATGTTGGGAAATGCATTTACGCACGACGTGTGGGACTCACTGGCGTAATACAGCCAGTACTACCCACTAAAACCCAACAAAACCTTCCCCCGTCTTAATGGGGCGTCGCAGGATCGCTTACGCATTCAACTACGACGCCCCGACGGCAGGTCTGCCGAAGCAGACCACAAGAACCACGGGGTTGCTCCACAGTCCACTCTGCTATCAGAGAAGTACCAGGAGCAACCCGCATGGTACACTGCCCTCCGAAGAGGGCCACCTCCCACCGCCCACCGAAGTGGGCCACCTCCCTGTGCGTTTCTTGGCTTCGCGCCCGGTTGGGTTGCCGGGCACTACTGAGCCCCCCCACCACGACAAGGTGAACGCACGTTGGGGGGGTACCATTCAAGCCCTAATTCTACCCAGTGCGCTCCTCACTAACTTTAACTTTCCCTTAACTTATAAAATATTTATTTAAATATAACCTAAAGGATGACTATCTAGACCAAATGTATTATACTAAATAAACCATTTGTCTAAATATTTTAAAAAATATAAAAAGTAACATAAAGAGATAAAACATTGCAATTTAATATAATACTATGAAAACCAACGGCTTCGCTCGTGCCCAAACTACAAAAAAAACACTTTGGGCTTATACTATGAGTAATAATATATAGAACTACCCAGATGGTTGACATTTATCCCTTGGGTAGTAGCCTATAGCATTCCTCAATAAACGGGCTATCTAATGCAAAAAGATTTTTTCAAATCGTATAAGAAGTTTCTGAGATTAGCGCGATCAAACAAACAAACAAACAAACAAACAAACCAACAAACAGATACACTTTCACAATTATAATATTAATATGGATATGGATGTTATGGATCGGATTTTACAACGCGCAAACAGTAACGCGAGTCGCAAGGCAAAAAAATCAAGTGTTTCATAACCTCATCATAGTGAAATGAAACTGTAATACTCCAAGCACAACATCATCTATTATCAGGTATTTTTATTATTTATTGACTTATTCATTATGTTCAATTTATACAAAAATCAAATCATGACTAAAAGGTAACTTTATTTTGTAACTTTATGTCTGTTTACAAAGTATTTTCTATATATTCTTCTTTGCTCCAAAACGTTTGCGCGCATGCGCAGCACTCACATATCTATACGTTAAATTTATTCAAACTATTTATATTTATTTAATAATTAAGGAAAGTGGAGCTGGTGAGAACTCTACTTGAGCAATTACAAATGCAACTTGAGCAGTATTTTAGAACTTTGAGCAATTTAAAATATTGTATATATCAAAAGATATAGAAATTTGAATATACGGATAAATGAATTTTTTTTCAAGGACTTTATTGATTTTTAATTTTATAATTAATGGTGAGCAATTTGGAAGGGCTACGTAGTTGAATTGAGCTATTAAAAATCTATCGATTAGTATTTTTTTCATTGCGAATATCATAAATTTGCAGGCTGGGGTAGGGTACCTGTTCGGTATACACTCGGTAGCATGGATGACAAATAAAACTCGGTAGACAACCCTGCGGGGCTGCCACATCGTATAATTGAATACGAAAATTGTATAAGGTGGTTATGTTATGTAACTTTTATAATTTAATACAAAAATAAACATTTTATTCCTCCCGTAACTTCGCTAATGTCAAACAAAAAAGTATCGAGACATGCATCGTATGTTTTAAAAATAAAACTTAAAGTATATTTAATTAAACTTTTTATCCGAATGCGGATTCTTTATACTATTAAGGCCACCTTGTTTCGAAGATTTAGGCATTTTACTCGCCCAGTCGACTTGCATCCGCGTTACGCGGGAGCCGACTTGATATGAACTTAGGTGACCTGTGTCGGCGGGCGAGAACGCCACAGTATAACATAATGCAGTAGGTACGGTGAGTTTAATTTTATTGACTTTATTCTTTTAGTATATTGATTATTTTATTGACTATATTCCCTTAGTATATTCTTTTATTTGATTGAAATGAAAGTTATTGGACTTATGTAGGTATTGATTGTAAACATAATTACTCTTACTAAACTTTTTGAATTAGTGAGGTGATAATGATGATTGTAGGAGAGTTTGTGGTACATACCTAAAGAATATAAACAAGAAATGAAAACAAACATAATTGTTATGTACAATATTTATTCTCATTTATTATACATACAGATGGATTTAATATGAGGAATAAAATGCTTATTTTTAATTAAAATTCATTATAATTTAGAGTTCTAGTGCTAGGCTCATTTTCATTGATCGATACGGTCATATTATGACCCAAAGTTGCATTTGGATCTTTATTAAGATTATAGTCTAGGTCCTCACTGAACTGCCCCGCGGGTGACGGAATAGGAGCTGATTGCAAATTAATAATGTTTTGCGATAACAAATTCTCATTTTCTTTATTTTCGGATTCGGTGGATTCGCATTCAAGTGTCAAATTCCGTATAGGCATACCACGAGTATGTCTGGGGTTGACGATTTCTGGCAGCAGACATTTGTGGTAAAAGTGTGATAACTTTTATTCCATCTTTGATTTCCAAAATTCATCATCTTTTTCGATTCTTTCGATATGTACTGGTTCTTTTTCCCCGGCCCAAATACCAAATAGACATTGCCGTCGTCCTGTTACATGCAGTTGCCCTTGCACTTGAAAAAACCAATTACTTTTTTTATTAATTGTTGTAGTCCGCGTCTTTTTATTATATTTTAATATCTGGATATTATTTTCTTCTATAGCCTTTGTCAAGCCAATTTTTGACGCTGAAAAAGGACATTTAACTTCTACCAGAACATGATTTCCAATAAGCCCGTCTGGCGTCGCACCAATAAATGGGAAATCTTTATCTATAAACAGTCCACAAGGCTTAATAGACACATATTCTTGGTGTTGTATCTTTTGCAACGCTAGCTGCTCATTTTCAATACCATGGGCAATAGATACAACATGGCTTATATTTGATTTATACAATATGTTTTTTACTAAAGGGGCGGTATCTTTGATACTTGTCGTTTGCAAACAGGGCCAAAATTAGAGGCAGTAATTAAGTTTTTCCGAATTTCTAGCCACTCACTACTGTCTCTTTGTAATATCGTATTTCGCTCGATTCCGTCTCTGTCAGCAGTTAGAGTTTCTAAATTTTTAAGAAATTCTTTTTTGGCTATTTCTAGATCACATTCAGACATATCTGGATCGGAACTGGCAGGGCCATAATCATTTTGTTTTGATACTGCCCCTTTCTTGATTTTTTTTGCTGGATGTTCCAAACTGCTTTTTCTTTTCTGGGCCCTCTGTCTTTTTCTTTTCCTTTCCAAAAAATCCGCCAATCCTGCTGCACCTGCTGCTGCCGCAACTTCCGCCACTCCTGCTAGGCCGGCTGCTGACAGGTTTTTATTCGTCAGTGTTTTAAAGACATGCGATATTGCTGCCTTGTCATTAAACGATAACACCGCAGCGGAGACCTTCCCTTGGTAGCCTTGTTTCAAGGCAAAATTTATGCGTTTACCTCCTATAAATTTTGCTATGACATTGTTGAAGCATTCGACAATGTTTGTATTTACGTTTTCTACTAAACTTCGTGATTTTGCAGCTACATTTGAAATGATCGAGTTAAGTCGGAAAAGAAATGTTGAGTTTTGAATAGATTTCAACCCGTCATTAAAAACATTTTCTTTATCACAGTTGTAATCCTGACACATTCTGTGATCTCCGTATGTATGTGATAGGGAATTGATGATATCTTTGTGAAGCAACTTTATAGCAATATCTTTCGTATTTTCTGATTTACTATGGTGTTTTATTGATCTGACTATTGCTTTTCTCAAGGACATTATTCTTAGGTTCATCAGAGTTTTTCTACAAGCCAGGGGAAATTTTGTCTCTGTAACCATACTCCGCATTTTTTTGCACAGATTTCTCAAAATGTGATTTCTGCATTCAATTTTTTCCACTGTTATATTCTGGGATTTATATGGATCTACTTTTAGCACCTTTGCATATGTCGAGGCATCTCCATCTGCAATCATTCTTTTATAAATAATGCCATACATTGGAATTAATTGCTGAAACCCTTCAGTTATTATGTCACCTTCCATAGAACATGATGAACCATCAAAATTCTTGTAACAGTTGTGCTCATTGGGTGGAGAATTTTTGCTTTCCGCGCGAGCGCACACAAGGCAGTATTTATTTTTTGCCGCCAGAAAAATAATTTTGCCGGTTCTTCTTCCAATAATTGCTGCAGTCCCAGACGCAGCCTTATAGTTGGATCCGTACGATCGAGCACACCAAGAAGCGTCAACGTAAACATCAACCACTGGTATGCCATTTTTGGTGCGACCTTCTGCGATTGCCAACTCTTTTTCTTCTTCAGCAGCAGCTTTCATGGATTCAGCGGCTGTGTTTTCAAAACTATCGTAAACTTGTCCCTGCAGTTTGTTGTGAAATTTTGTAGAAAATATGTGAATATTCATGAAGGAAAAAAGCTCTTCGAACTGAGAATAACCAATCCCTGAGGCTACCATACCAGTGGTTGCCGCAATATTTACGTCTATATTTGCTGTGTCAGTATTTTCGGATTTTATAAGACAAAGCTGTTTGCACATATTGCATTCAAATTTAAATACGGACAGTAGCCCAATCCTTTTTTCACTAATTAGCCGAAAATTTCCCGCTTTGCAGTCAAATAAATTGTTGTGACGTGCTTTTTCCTGTAATTGAGTAAACAAGTAATTGATGTCAATGATGCGTCTCCCTGAAACTGGTTGAAACTCGTGTTCTTGATTTTCAGACTCTACGAGAAGAGGGTCATCTTGACTAGATTTTCTGCAACAATAAGTGACTTTAGATAATTTGTAAAATTTGAGGTGATTTAGGTCAGCCATACGGGACCATAAGTTAATTACCAAGGAGCGCTCTCGAAACTTACTCAGTATCATCAAATTCACCTGCTGCTAGGCTGATGTTATATTGGTCCACAACAGAATTTGATTCACTTCCATGATTCATTTCTCTAAAAAATAAATGCAAGGTATAATTCAAAAACGAACTTCAATATAATAACATATTGGTATTGTTTGCCAATAAAGCGTTTAATTGTGGAAGTATTTGTTTTAATAACTATTATTAGTATATTAAATTATTATTGTGGCTAAGGAGTACAATCGCAGTTAGATTAGCTATAAACAAACAGGTAAGTATAGGTAATAAGTATGTATTGTACTTACGCGTTCTGGTCATCGGTACAATTATTCGACGTGAAAGTACCTTCTTTGGTACAAGATCTCAATGCACTGAAATAAGTGGAAAAAATACATTACATTTCATTTGAACAAATATTGGTAATAAAAGTAACAAATACTGTGATATCTGCCTAATGATCTTCCTAAAATGCCAGAATTACCTTAGTACCTACTAAGTATTATAAAAAATAATATGGTTATACTGATTTTGGTAGACTGTGTCCCATCCATTATGCCAAAGTATCTCCTTTCAAACGTTACTAGTTTATAATTCCATATTTCTTTCCGTACATATACTGCTTTAACTATACTGTGGCAAGGAAACCTTTTTTTTTTTTTTTATACGTCAGGAAACCCTGTTGCCGGGTACCCGCCGCCTGGGGAAAAACGACGGGTTATGTGGGGCTCCTGCCGCGCCAAGATGGTAAACGCGCGGCAGCCTACCCACTAAAACCTGACGGTGTCCACCTTACTCGCCTAAGGGTCGGGGTCACGGGAACCAAGAAATCATCCGCGACCCCGACGGCGATTGCCCAACGGCACGACTCGGTGTCGGAGGGTGGAAGCAATACCCTCTACGACCCTTCTGGAGTGGCGCGCGGCGGACACCGCGCGCGCCTACTCGGGCCAGGCTGTTAGGCGGCAGACTTCCCCAAGTCTACCGCCCTCTGGCCGGTGTTAGGGTGGGAGGCGGCGATCGTGGGCCGCTCTCCGGCGCCCGGTCCTCTTGCGGCGGATGGCGAGATCAAAAGTCGCCTCCCTTTCTCTCTCCGCCGCCTCCTTCTGCGACATCACGTCCTCGCAGAAGGACAGGACGGCAGCCCATGACCTTTCGTCACCGACCATGGCGGAAATCACGGCCGGCAACGTCAGGTCAGCCCCCACAACACTGCGAAGCGCCTCGCGCTCCAACTCCCAAGCTGGACACTCTGCCAGCACATGCTGGGCGGACTCGTCGGCGCAGTCGTGGCAGTGGTGGTAGCGTGGATCCGGCTCTCTTCCGGCGACGCGGCACAGGTATCCGCCGAAGCACCCGTGCCCCGTGAGGACCTGCGTCAGCCGAAAAGTGAGGACACCGTGACGCCTCGCCAACCACTGCCTGAGGACAGGGCGAACGGCATCGATGGTCCTACGTCCAGCCGAAGGGTGCTCCAATCTACTGAGCCACCCTTCCAATGCGGCATCCCGCTCCTCGCTCTCGTGCGTGTCTGGACTGAGGTTCCTGGACGCATGGTCTCGACGCCGACGGTAGATCGACGCCAAGGAAAGCGCATCCAGGTCCCAGGGTAATACTCCAGCCAGCACGCACGCTGCTTCGCCCGAGATGGTCCGGTACCCTCGCACGATTCTTGTCGCCATTACTCTTTGCGACTGCCGCAAGACAGCCACATTTTCGCGGCAGAGAGCGTCTGCCCATACCGGGGCACCGTAGAGCGCCATGGACCTTAAGACTTCCAGGTAGAGGCGCCTACTAGAGCAGTTCGGCCCGCTTATATTCGGCAGCAGTCTGCTAAGTGCGCCCGCCGTCTTCATCAATTTTGGCGCAAGAGCCTTAAAATGTGCCTTGAAATTCCACCGGCTGTCGAGCACGAGTCCAAGGTACTTCATCGTACTCGACAGGCCGATATGGACTCCGCCCACCACAATATGTGTGTCTGGTGGTGGTGCTCTTCGAGCGCCGCGAAAGCAGAGTGCCTTCGACTTCTCTAGAGCAACCTCTAGCCCTAACCTCCTTATTTTTCCGACAACGTGGGCCACTCCCGCCGTTGCTAGTATCGCCGCCTCATTATAATTCTTCGCCCGCGCCAGGACCAGCGTGTCGTCGGCGTAGCAAACTACGCTGACTCCCCGCAGTGTGCTACTCCGCAGTACCCAGTCGTAACCGATGTTCCACAGGAGGGGCCCGAGAACCGAACCCTGTGGAACACCGCACAACACTTCTCTTCTCCCCCAGCCGTTCCGCTCAGGGAAGACCACAGACCTATCGGACAGGTACGCCCCGATAACGCGTCGCAGGTAGGTTGGCACCCCGTAGTAATGGAGCGCCTCCCTGATGCAAGCCCAGGGCAGAGAGTTAAAGGCGTTTGCGATGTCCAGGGACACCGCAAAAACTACTTCCCCCTGGGAGACCGCATCCTGCGCGCGGGACTTGACCCGCAGAATGGCATCCACGGTTGAGCGACCACCGCGGAAGCCAAACTGCGCGTCTGATAGGTCCGGACCGACCTCCGTCATGTGCTTAGTCAGGCGTTCGACTACAATGCGCTCAAATAGCTTGGCCATCTCGTTAAGTAGCACTATGGGACGGTAGGCGGAGGGAGACTCCGCTGGACGCCCTTTCTTTCTGAGGAGGACTAGCCTGCCTGTCTTCCACCTCTGTGGAATTATGGCTTGAGCCAGACAGGCAGTGAATAGTCCCTTCACACAAGGCGCTAAAGCGTCCATCATCAGTGCTAACGCGCGACCCGGCACTCCGTCCGGCCCCGGGGTAACAGACTTTCCCCGCAGGCGCACGACCGCAGCTGCCATCTCTTCCTCGTCAACCTCCGGCACGTGATCCACGTCTTCGAGCAGCGCGCGTAGACCAATCTGCGGCGGCATGAAGTCCCGACGTGGAAATAGGATCTCCAGAACATTGTGCAGTTTTTCGCTGTCAAGTGTTTCCGTGATTGGAGGGGCCCAGGGGCGAAGCTTATTCATTACCATCCTGTACGGTGTGCCCCATGGATCTCTGTCGAGCCCCTCCAGCATTTCGGCCCTCCCCTCGGCTATAGCCCTGGCGATCTGGGCTTGTAAGCGGGTTTTCGCCTCCATATAATTGGCGTATCTAGCGTCCTCCTCTGCAATATCTCGGCGCGCTCTCCTACGGCAGTGGGAGTAGAGACGTCTGGCAGCGACGCAGTCTTCACGCAATTGCGCGATTTCTGCCGTCCACCACCAGACTTGCAAACCTAACCTACAAACTAAGTATATTAATTAACGTAAGGAGTAAAGTAGGTAATATTTTAAAGAGAACAAAGAACAATATAGGTTCCTACTTAATAAATAAGATAATAATAAGAAATAAATAAACACGTACGTGCAAGTACTGTACTTACTTAGCATTTCTTTGTAATGCATTCGTCCTGTTTGTCTTTGATATATGTCGTAGTGACTTTTTTCGTTTATTGCGTTTGTTAGCCATAGTGACGACTTGGCCAGATCAATTTTAGTTTATTTTCGTAAATCACTGCACGTCGCGCGTCGGGCGGGAAGAGCACTGGCACAGGTCCGCCGTCGGTAAGTGCCACCGCGCGACTGACGAAGCCCGCGGGCGTCGCGCGCGCCGCTCGCGGGTTTGTAGGTGTTTAGGCATAACACTGCAACATCCACCTCAGCGATTTGTACTAGATAAATGATTTATCTAAAGATTGGTATAAAAATAAGGTCAAAAAGTTTATTATTTTAGGCACAGTATTGAAAATGTTTTTTAATAAGAGGTAACTTTGGTATTTTTTTCTATCGAGCGAAGTTCATCTGATTGTGTAAATGTAAGCGAATTGTACTCTGTAAGATCCTCAACTGAAACATATATTTTTTTCAGAAATTTACGTCAATTTTTGACTGATTCATATTGATTTTAAAAACAGCATTTACGGTATAAAAAGCCCTTAAATTTAACAATAGAGCTTTTCGTACGCCTCAGTCGAGGCGCAAATATTTTTAAATATTTTTTAATTAAATCTACTAATAATAGTTTTTAATAAAAAATATAATATTTGAAATCACAAAATTAGAAAGAAACTCAAGTAGGTAGATGAAATTAAAATACTGGCCGGCGGTAGCCCTGTCGCGTGGGTACGTGCCGCTCGGCTGTAGGTAATTATTTCAAGGACAGGCCCGAGTTGGAATACTCTATGCATTACATTACCGTGGTATTACCTTGGACCAAGAGAAAACGACGTTGTAAATCAAAATATTCAGTTTAAACAATGCTATTTTATTATATATTATGTATCTGTAAAAGTTCCGATAGCAGTAAAAAAGTACAAAAAATAAAATCAAACAATATTCACTTGTAGACGATTTGACAGTCTTAAAATCACTTTCTATAAAATGGTATTCACATAGCCTTAAAATAAAAATTGAGATTTCGCCCACAATTTCTCAATTTTTTTGTCATTTGGGAATAAATGATATCTATTTTCTTTGCATCCTGGCACTGGGTAATTTGCCATTTTAAGTAAATTTTAAATAAAATGAAAAAAAAAACCATCCACGCTATACAGCTTTACAATTTAATGAGGATCATATTAATACTTTCTTAGATTTACGATCATATTAATCGCAACATCTGGCGCGAGAACATGGCAAAATTCTTCCCCATTGCTGTACGAGTATTGTTTTTGAACAGTTGGTAGCACTGATTTATTCTCCGAGTATGTATATTCTGTGGATATGATAGACAATGACAAATGCTCCTAGAGTATTATTGACCTACCCTACCCCAGCCTGCAAATTTATGATATTTGCAATGAAAAAAATACTAATCGATAGATTTTCAATAGCTCAATTTAACTACGTAGCCCTTTCAAATTGCTCACCTTTAATTATTTAATTAAAAATCAATAAAGTCTTTGAAAAAAATTTAATTTATCTGTATATTCAAACTCCTATATCTTTTGATGTATACAATATTTCAAATTGCTCAAAGTTCTAAAACACTGCTCAAGTTGCATTTGTAATTGCTCAAGTAGAGTTTTTACCAGCTCCACTTTCGCTGATTATTAAATAATTAAAAGTATAGTTGTAATAAATGTAACGTAGGTTAAGTGAGCGTGCGCATGCGCACCGCGCATTGTCGGTCGGCCTCGGCGGGCTTGGACAATCGTTCCAATTCAACGTCTTAATTCTGTTTCTCGGTGGATTTCTTTAAATTTATTGAATTTATGAATTGTTCACATTACGTGATTCCACTTCAGATATTATAACATAAAGAACATTTAATTATTTAATAATCAGCGAAAGTGGAGCTGGTAAAAACTCTACTTGAGCAATTACAAATGCAACTTGAGCAGTGTTTTAGAACTTTGAGCAATTTGAAATATTGTATACATCAAAAGATATAGGAGTTTGAATATACAGATAAATTATTTTTTTTTCAAAGACTTTATTGATTTTTAATTAAATAATTAAAGGTGAGCAATTTGAAAGGGCTACGTAGTTAAATTGAGCTATTGAAAATCTATCGATTAGTATTTTTTTCATTGCAAATATCATAAATTTGCAGGCTGGGGTAGGGTAGGTGTATTATTGTTCTGTGGACAAATGACAATCGAGTAACGAGTTGTCAAATGTCAGTCACTGATGAGTATTTTTACATTTTTATGTTTAAACTATAATATTATTTATCTATTATTTTTAATCACAAAACTAAAGTATTGAATTGAATGGTTTTTATTTAATTGGAGCGTATCTTATGTGACATTTATGATTCGTGTATATTGAAAAGAAACCTTTTATACAAATTGTAAAACTAAAAAATCTTGTATAAACCATGGCCGATAGATTAACACAATTACAAGATACAATAAATCAAGTGAGTAGCATAGCATATATTTTGTTTATTTTCCTACATTATGTAGGTTTAAACTTAAAAACTTAAATATTTATATTTGTTGTTAAAACTTAAATTCCCATGTAATATTCCAGCAAGCAGAGCATTTCTGTAACAGTATTGGGATACTACAACAGTTTTCAACTCCAGGTAAATTCCATGGATTCGATCGCAGTGGTTCTCAAACTCCGCAGCAACAACAAAATCAAGAGGACTATGCTATGCTGTTTGCTACTTTAATATCTAGGTGTGCCAAAGATATAGATACATTAATTGAATCACTACCAAGCGAGGAGAGCTCCACAGAGTTACAAGTGCAAAGTTTAAAGCGCCTGGAATCAGAAAATAAAGAAGCAGCAGAACAATTAGAAGAAGTATGTAATACATTGTTTTGTTATATTCTAGATTCTCAAAATCATTATTTAAAGTTACAAGTATAAATTGTAATAATAAATATATAATGTTTATTACAGGTAGTCCGGCAAGGTGAGAGTTTATTGGAAAAGGTGCAAGGAGCTTTAAGTGACATAGCACAAAGTCAACTCGATATGCAAAACCCATTGTTAATCCTCAACAAAGATGTTAAACCACAATTATAGGACTTAAAAAGGCCTGGTGCCTACCATAGGATAATGAACAATAAAAAACTTTTGTGTATAGATATTATTAAGTTTTTTCATGTTTAATAGATTGTGCACATAATATTTAAGGTGTTAAGCCTTAGCTAATGCAGCAGATAGACAAGCTACTTTTATGTTGCTCAATGAAATGACTGGCTTTTCCAAATGCTATATTATTTCAGTTTATGAGAATATAATAATATTGGCCTCTGGGGAGTCAGATTGGCCATAGTGGCCAATATGAAACAAAGTATTCTCAAACTCTTATGGGATGTTAATTCAACACAACCTTTGCCAGATCACATGCAGGACTGCTTTAAATCCTGTTCGAGGCATGGGGCTTATGCTACGGCTTAGGCGAATTGTCAAGTGTGAATTATAAGTGTACTTGAGAATTGTAAAGGTCTATTGGAATTAGGTAAATAATATATAAAGGCAACTAAAATCCAATTGCAATATAAGCATCGAATGTGCACAACCCTAAATAAAAGAATAACTATTAAGGTGGCTGTTGTGTTTTTAAGACTTCGTGATAATAAGGTTTTTGTTTAAAAAATTTAATTAATAAAAACTTAAAAAAACGCAGTTCCAGGCACTAACAAGTAAAAAAATAACTAAACGGGGGTTTTCATTGAGTATAGATACCTAATCAGATATTTTTGAAGTCAGTGTGCTTTAATTTGCATTGGCTGGCACTGACTTGGAAAATATATCTATTCTAAACAAAAACCCTCCATCTAATTACTTTTTACTTCTTAATGCCAGGAAGTCGATTTTTTTTTTATTATTTTTTCCATTTTTAGTGTAGATGTAATAAGCAGGTAATTTATAAGAAGAAAGTTTTTTAATAACATTCATTTAAGCCATTTATTTGAAAATAAATTATTGTTGATTTTTTTTAAACCGCTCGATCGATTTTGATAAAATTTAAATGAAACCACCTGAGAAGTATATACCCTTTAAAACAAAAAAGGAATTTTCCAAATCGGTTCAGGCGACTTTGAGTAATCTGTGAACATACATTAAAAAAAAATTAATTGAGAACCTCCTCCTTTTTGAAGAAGTTGGTTGAAAATATATATTAGACTAAATTTTCCCACTTGCCACCTTCGAAATTATAACAATATTTCTTAATGATTCTTAATTATATTATTTTTATTTAAGTTAATTAAAACTCCTGCAATCTTATGCTTTATATTTTTTTTCTTGTAATGCTAGTTTTGTGCTAAAAAATTAAATGAACCAATTAAACACTAATGCCTTAAAATACATTGTTTTTTATTTCATACATGTTAATATGTAACTAGAACCGAATTTTGGTACAAAATATTATGTAAGGGACTGAAGAAAGGAAAATTTTCATTTACTCAACTTCAGCAAAGACCAAAATAGGGGTTAACTTTGAGCTAATAATATGTATGTATATGTATGAGTCCTCTGTTTTCTAATTATTGTTAAATAGTTGAACTGATTTGGATGAATTCTTACATACATTACATTAGAGTCGTCTTGGAAACCCCTGACAACAAATCAAATAAGAATTAGTCAAATCAGTCCAGCCGTTTTTGAGTTTTAGCGAGACCTAGTATAGTATTATATTGTGATCTGTGGCGAGACTAACAAACAGCAATTTATTTTTATAACTATACTAGCAGTACCCGCGGCTTTTCCCGCGTCCAAATCTCCGATCGCTAACAAAATTCACAGGATCACCCGCTGGGCTAATCTGAAGATTACCTGAAAATTTTATCAAAATCGCTCCCGATGTTTTGGAGTCCATAGGAAACATACACATCTCGATTTTTATTTTATTTAATCAACAATTTTCTTTTATGAAAATTTAGTGACACACCGACTGCTGCGCCACCTACCGGGACCAATTGTGTTTTTAAACCATCCAGGAGCCCATTGGAATATACACAAAATTTTATCCAAATCGGTCCAGTAGGTTAACACGTTCGCTGCATTACGAGATCTATCAGATCTCTTGCAGGACTTTTGTATTGTGCGTTGACTATAATCGTGTTGTTTCACTCCTTGCGGGAGGCTCTAACGTGTAAAGTTCTTTAAGTATGAGTACGACAAATATACATATTTGCTTCCTACTTAAAGGTGAATTCGAGGACATAAAAAAAATAAATAGAGATGGATTAGGTCCCTAACGCACAGTAGTATAATTATTTTTATTCCTTGCGTTAGGAGACATGTCGATACTCGTGGAATCGTACGCCTCGTAGACGCAAGAGAGGGAGGGTGGGCGGCGCGGGCGCTGTGTGAATCGATTTAGTGTTGTCCTAGTGTCGACGTGGGAGGTTGCGCACACGTTTCGAAAAAGTGTAAAAAAATTTTTATTTAATATATTTTATTTTATTATTTAATAAAATTGTTTTATTTTGGTGAGATTTCTAAGAATGAAAAATCAACGCTGAATTATAGTGCTGCATCATCCAGTATAATTACAATTTTGGAAAATTTAATGCTTTTTATTATAGAATTCCCCGAAGGAAGATGTACAGATCATGTTTTCCAACGTGGCGACAAAAAAGGACGTTGTGTGGGTTGTTATGAAAAATTACGACGCACATTAAACAGCACTGACGCTTCTAAAAAAAGCTGAAAAAATTGTTACCATTTGCGCGCAATGCAAATAATCAATGTGCTTACCATGTTTTAATGAAAAACACTTTGCATAGTTTATAAATAAACTTCTTTAATAAAACTTTTTCAATCGACAATTGAGATATTATTTTATTCCCATCACTACTTACTACACATATTGAACTATCTTCGGTTGCGGTACGAGATACAATCGATATCTAATTTTTTTTTGGTATTTGTAGTTTATTCTAATGTCATAACTGCGTGCGAACCTAGCAAAATGTAGAGCAATAGGCTCTCTTGACCCACAAAAACTTCAAAATATATGTCATTAGTTTTTTGGAAGATATAAATTATTTTCAAAACTGTATTTTTAGGAGACTGATTAGGTCTCTAACGCACCAAAGGGTAGGTTAGTTTCGAGATCTTTTAGGTCTCCAAAGCACCAGCTGAAAGTTCTTTCAAAATGATGGCGCAGTGAACGTGTTAACAAACACAGGTACAGAAGAATTATATATATATATATATATATATATATATATACATATATATATATATATAATTCTCCGCTCCGCGGGTGGCATACATGTTAGCTTCGCCACTGCCTACGTATCAAATAGAATTAATTCCACATATCCATATTTACAAAGTGTTCCGTAACAGAATAATATTTTTTGATATTTTCATTGGCAAATTTAATATCGACAGTGTTTAATTAATGCCATGCCCCATTGAAGATCTATTCTCTTTTTGAAGATATATACCTACTAGAATCTTTTTAAGTTGCAATCTTAATTTAAAATATATATACCTATCTATAATGTACCTACACGACTGAAATAACCTTTCCGTAATAAAAACTCAAAAATAATTACTCTGTTCAACGCTGGATTTACACTAGGGGCGGGTCTCGGGGCTAGTGCCCAGGGCGGAAATTTTCAGGGGCGCCAAAATTCGAAGGATAAAAAAAGATCGACTTATTGAAAATGATTGATGAAAATTTTATTTTCCAAAAAATGAATATAAAAAAATTAACTATTATATTTTTTGAAAAATTGAATACATTTACAATTATTTATATGATTTGTCAAAAATTTGTAATAAAAAAAATTGAACTTTATCCATTTTATGCAAAATTTCGATAATGGGGCGGCGTTGCTTACATTGCCCAGGGGCGACGCTTAAAGGTTGAACTGACTCTGTTGCTTTTACGCGCCAAATGAAACAAATAAGATGAGAAATAATTGATCCATAATTATGTCAGTAGTTAGCGAGTAGCGACTCGATTATTTTCAACCGACTTCAAAAAGGAGGAGGTTCTCAATTCGACTGTATTTTTTATGTTTGTTGCCTCAGAACTTCGTCATTTATTAACCGATTTGGACAATTTTTGTTTTGTTTGAAAGGATATACTTCCAGATTGGTCCCATTTAAATTTCAAAAAAAACCACCCCTAAGGGTGGAAAAATAGCTAATGATGGATTTAACCTACTTCTAATTGTCATATTGACTTGAAACTTTGCAAGTGTTTCTATTTCCGTTGATAGTACAGTGGTTCGGTATTGTTGACCTGATCTGATGGTAAGGCCAGAAGGTGGATAGGTGGAACTCTTCAACGGCTAATAGTAGATACTTTGAGTTTTGGGCTTATTTTGTTTGATTTGACAAGCTTTACACGTTAGAATTCTAACTTTGCTTCTATTGTCTACACTAAAAAGGGAAAAATAAATTCTTTTTAACAAAAAAATAAAAACCGACTTCAAACAAAAGCACTAAAAAGTAAAAAATAACTGATTGGTAGTTTTCATTTACATTTATTTCATTTAGACGAAAACAAATGTCTTTATCGGAAAGCGTTTTATTTCAATTAAAAACCTCCTTTTATAGTAGAGAACTCTAAAAAAGGCTCACGTAGGTAATTCTCAATCAGTACCACGTAAATGCAACTCTAACCATAAAATATTTATATACCCGTCACCAAAACATATCTTCGTACCAAGCTACCTGCCATCAACAAATTCCACCATTCTAATATATAGAAAAAAAAATCATTGATCATCTTTTAGTAAGCGCAAGCGGTCGCAGGTTCGAATAACGCTGGGGACATTCATTCGTCTGATGAGTACAAATGTTTGTACTCCAGTCATAGGTGTTTATATTTATTATATGTATGTATTTAAAGTTATATATCTATGTGTCAACTATCTATCTGGTATCAACTATCTAGTATCCATAACACAAGCCTCGTAGCTTACCTTGGAACTAGACGGTGCTGTGTGTTAATGTCCCAGCATATTTATTTATTTATAATTACGCATTATGTTTATGTATTATGATGTTCTCCTGACCGATTCCGGCCACGGCGGCCAATCTCATTG